CCGCCACTGTCATGGCATTTGCCTCCACCGCCCGCCCCGCACCGCCCCGCCCCGCCTGCAATTGTTCTGTTTTCCTGCCCCGCCACCAGCCCCAGCCGGCCGCCGCCCTGGCAGTAGCAGTCCGGATTCCCGCTGCACCTAACCCCCTGCAGTGAGGTTCCCGTCCACCCCGCCCCTCCGCCTCCACAACTCTTCACTTGTTCTGCACTCTTCCCCTTCCTGCTGTGGCCGCTCTGGCCGCTCGGGCCGTGCGCAACACGCGACCAACCCGCCCCGCCCCGCCCGGGGCGCGCGTGCGACGCGGCGCGACTCCGGTTGCCATGCAATGGGGCGCCTGGCGCGATAGGGGCGCTGGCGGCCGCGGCGGGGCGGGGCGCGGTGGGGTGCAGAAATCTATTTTAATTTCGGGCTTATATGCAGTCGGCCGCGCTGGCGGGCAGGCGGGCAGGCGGGCCGGCGGCGGGGGTTGCGTGGCGCGGGAAATGCTGGAAGGCCTAGCGCTAAGTGCACGCGGTCGACGCGGTGCCGTGCCGTCGTGCCGTCGAGCTGCGCGGCCGCGAGCACGGACCGAAAGAAAAACGGGTCCCCTTCCGCCATTTTTCCAGCGACCGGCTGCGGAACGTGGCAAACTGATTTTCCTGCTCGTTAACGGCTGCAACGCGATAGGATAGAACCGAGCTCCGCGGCCACGGCGCCACGGCGGTTCGATGGTGCTATCTCTCTCTCTTTCTCCGCCGCCACCGCCCCCTGGGCGCGCAAAGTATAGCGGCGGCGGGGCCCGTCTGGGGCACTGCCGGCACGGCCAGCACGGGGCGCGCAACACACATCTTGTAATCGCCTTTCCGCTTCCGCCGCCTCGCTGGAGAGAAATCCCACTAGACACCGACCGCCTGGCGGCCTGGCGGATCATTCCAATCCATCTCGGGGAATCGCATCGGGCGGCCTCCCCTCCCCGGGGCGCCCTGGCCGGGGTGGGGTGGGGGACCCGCGTGAGACGGCGAGGGAAATGCTCCTCGTGCACGTCGACTACGTCGGCGAGCTCCTCGGCCGCGCGGCGAGACAAGGCACAGCAGCGTTGCTAAGCACACCCCCGGGACAGGGACCGGAGTGGCAGCCGGGCCGAGTGGCGCGGCGGCAGGCAGTGGCAGGGCGCACAACGAGTCCAAGTCCAAACCGCTCGCACCAGCTGGCCGCTCGCCGCCCTGGCCGCGACCCGCGTCATCGCGGACGGCATCCTGGAGGTCGTGACCGCAACTAGCTTGCTCGACACGTCGACACGTTTCCCCGGCGAGTGCCTATTAGTGCCGCCGCCGTCTGGCCTGCCTGCCCGGCCTGGCAAGGCCCGTCGGCGAAAGGTCAAAGGAGCCACAGCCACGCGCGCCGCCGCCTCGCCTCGCCGCGCCACTACACTAGGCCGGGCCCTCGGAACACTTCGGAACGTCATTACGACTTCTCTGTGGACTTGGCCGCGGTGCCGCCAGGTTGCGTGGCGTGGGTAGCGCCCCGCGCCGCCGCCGTGGAGCCCTGCAGGTCCACGTCGGCGTCGGCCGCCGCCCGCCGCGCGTCCTCCAGGGGGCCGACGCCCCGCCGCGACGCGCCGCGCCGGCAGGGCAGACCAGCTCGGACCAAGTTCCGGACAAGGAAAACAAAAACAAGGAAAAGTGGCGTGTTGACTGGAAAGGGTGGGGGCTGAGCCTTTGCCTTGTTTTCCCGCCAAGCTGTGTGGCGGCAGAACGGCGCGGTGTCGAGGGGGGGGGGAGAGAGTTGTTGAAACTGCAGGGGAAACGGCGCGTCCTGCTACTGAAGTTTCGTCTCGAATAAAAAGATTCCTTTATAAAGACGCGCTGCTGCGCTCCTGTTTGGTTTTGTAGTGGTTTAGTGTAACGGAGCGGTGGCGGAGTTTCCACTACGCTGTTGGGATTGTAACCTGACGAGGGTCCCGCCACGCCCGCTATCCGCGATCCTGCGGGCACCCCCTGCCGTGCCGCCTGCCGCCTCACCGGTCGGGGAGTGAAGACACTGGAAGACACACGAGACTGGCAAGTGGCTGCCAGCCTGCCAGCCTGCCAGCCCTGCCAGGCCGTGCCAGGCCGTGTTGTTGTTCTTGCCGGGGAGGGCCGGGGAGGACATCCGAGAAGACGAGCCGGGGCTTGGCTGGCTTGGCTGGCTCGGTGCGTACCAGCCGCTTTAATCTGAAGGGGGCCCGCCAAAGTTGCGCGGCCTCTTGTTGCAGAAGACGATTAATTACCCCCCTCCCCCCTCCCCTTCTCTCACCCCCACTCCCCGCTGCCGCCGCAGCGTGCATCCTTCCTCCTTTCAAACCGCCTTTTCCCGCCCGCTCGGCGCGCTCGGCGCCCGCTCCATGAAAGGCCCCACGCTGTTTATATTGTGTCGCCACCCCGTGGATGGCCTTCTCGGCGAGGGACTCCTCCTCCAGCGCGCCTAGCGCTGCGGCGCTTGCCCAGGGCTGCCTATGGGCCTGCGGCAAGGCCTGCGGCCTGCGCGGCCCGCCCGGCCGGCCCGGGGGTCGATGCCGGGGGACCTGGAATGCGGAAGTCCAGATAACGCGGCCGAACTCGCACACACAAAGAGCGCCGAGAGAGAGAGTTTAGTTCGCGGGAGATAGATACTGGCGAGTTTGGCCGCGGGGCAATATATACAGTATCGCACATCGCGCGCGAGAAGTGGCCACACCTAGTTACACCGCGTGGTGCAGAGGGAAAAAACGGCCGCGAAATTATCTAGTAGAGTCCCCGGGGGCGGGGAAGGGGGAGGGCGAGGGGTTGTCAACATGGCTGGGGCGGCGAGGAAATTAAAAGGTAGCAGTGGCGTAGCGGGCAGGCCAGCGCCAGCCAGGGCCAGGCAGGGCCAGGGCCCCACTCCCACTAAAGCCTGCCCGACATCGGAGAAGCTTGTTTCCGCAAGGTGCTTTTGCCAATTGGACCGCCCCTTTCTCTGTGTGCGTGTGTGTGCGTGTGAGTGTTTATGTGTGTGTGTGTGCGCGCGTCCACCGCCATGGTCGTGTTTTCCTCCTCGCCGTCAGGTGAATTGTACGACTGCGCGCCGTGCTGCGCGCTGCGCCTCGCCGCAGCGACAGGCCGAAGCTCCCTTACTCTCCCCCAAGGACGCGGCCAGGACGCGGCCAGGACGCCCCAGGCCCACGCGGGGGAGGAGGGGGGGGGCAGGCACGCACTCCAGCAGCACCAGACATGTGGCGGCCTGATATTACTATGCATGGGCGTGCCGCCGTGGCGCCGTGCCGTGCGGTGTGCCGATCCCCCAGGCTCGTTTCATATCCCCCTACCGCCTACGATCTTCCCTCGTGTTTTTTTACTCTTTTTATTTTCATCCCGCTTCTTTCCGGCCGGCTCATCGCGGCCGCACCTGCCAAACAGGGCGGGCGATAGCTCTGATAGGTTCCGTGTTGACAGATTGCTTTCATTAATTCACATTCATGAACCCGTCTGTCCGTCTGCCTGTCTGTCCGTCCGTCTGTCTGTCCGCCTGCCCCCTGACGCCGTTCCTTCTTGTCTGTCGCACAGGGTCCCAGAGGCACGGCAGCCTTCGCCGCGCGGACAGCACGGCCGAACCGAAAGCACCCAGGAACCCACAGGAACCCACAGGAACCGCGCTGCAACGGCGGCTGCATGGCGGCGGGCAGCGAGGCACGGTCAGTACAATCCGACATCTCTGTTGTCGGGTCCTTTCTCTTGCAGGGTAGCCTGGGGGGAAAGTTTTGTCCGGGAAAAAAGCTGACCCCATGAATTATTTCTTTTCGCAGTGGACTGAGGTGAAAAAAGTTGGAGAGGCCGATTGGGTGGGGTGGAAAGGGGAAAGGGGGATGTGAGTCCCCGAGCCCGGGCAGGGCGGCAGGGCGGCAGGACACGGTGTATATGGCTGGAAACGGTTCGACCCAGTGGAGAGTGGCCGGAGCAACCCTAGCGGCCCGGCCCGGCCCGTCGGCCCACCGGGCCATTCAATGGTGTCGAGGGGCTGCCTACATTAGGGGCGCTGACGGCCGCGTCGACGGCCAGAAAGGGGAAGGGGAGGGAAGGCGACCCTCACTTGGGGCTGTCGGATCGCGGATGTAACAATCCTTTGAGGACTGACGAGACGGGAGGCCCCTCCCCTTCCGTAGTTTCGGTTTGGCGCGTCGTCCGCGCAAAAGGGGCTGTTTCAAAATAGATCACCGCCACCCCACATCGCCACGGCCCGCTGTATCTTTTGGTGTTTTTTCGTTCCAGGACTCGGCCGAAGCCCCACGCGCCCTGACGCAGCCCCGCGTGCCATGACCCTCACCACCGCACACTTCCAGGTCAGTACGCCGGGGCTCATTCCCTTCCATCTCTCCGGGTGAGCTTGCCACTGTCCACGTGTCTGACGAATCTGTCTGTTTTTTTCTCGGTTTTCTCGGCGACGCTGCAGGCCATGGCCACAGATGCCGCCGGGTGTCGGCGTCCCGGGCGTCCCCGCAGACTGGAGGAGGGACCATGGCTGGAGGCTCGGTGACGTCATGGGCGTCAAGAGTGGCGGCGCCCCCTCCCGAGACCCCCGCAGCGCCAACAGCGCGCGGCCAGCGCGTCCCCCCTGGGGCCCCCGGGGCACGCAGCCCCCGCACAGCCCGCACAGCCCGCACAGCCCGCACAGCCACAGCGACTGACTGTTCTTCTCGCCCTTCACGTCCTCGCTCCGATTTCTCGCTGCTGGTGACGTCGCCCTCGCACCCGCGCCGCAGAAAACGTCCACGGCCACCGCGCCGCGCCCGCCGCGCCCGCCGCGCCCTGCCCCCCGTCCGGCGCTGGCCGCCAGGCCGCCGGCTGCCGGGGCGGGCCTAGGGCGGGGCTAGAGGGCCATGGCTGTGCCCGGGGCGGGCCCGGACGCCAACCAGGAAGACGACGACGACGTCCACGGCGACGAGGCAAGCGCGGCGCCCGGCAGGCTGCGCCCGGAGCCAAGCGGCGCGCAGGCCGCGGAGGCCGCGGAGGCCGAGGCCGCGCGGACGGACGCTCGGAGCTGCCTGGCCTGCCTGGCTTGCCCCCCGGCCGGCCAGTTGGTCCGACTCGTCCCACTCTACTCGCAGCCAGGGAGACACTAAGCCGAGATGCCGGGCGGACGCAGGGGGCTGGTGGCGCCCCAGAACACCTTCCTCGAGAACATCATTCGGCGCTCCACCTCGCAGCGTGAGTACCACTTCATCAACAAAGGCACAGAGATGGCTCCCGTCGAGTCGTAACAGTGTCCCTCCTCGCCAAGCCATGCCCCTTTCGCCCTGTGCGACCCCCCCCCCTCCCCGCACACCGTGCCGCAGCCGGTCAGCTTGCAGCGTAATAAGACTGCCGCTGACGCTGACGGCACAAGTCCTTACAGCAGCTTACCCGCCGCGCCGCCGCGCCGCCCGGCGCACATGTGGCGCTGCCACGCTGCCACGGCGGCGTCGCTGATCGGCCTGATTTATTCTTTATTCCGCTGATCCCCGCTGAGCCGCTGCCGCAGCCTCGGCAAGCCACGGCCTCGGCGTAGTAAAAGCCGCGCCGTTCCGCCCGACATTATGTCCCGGCTTTGCGTCGCTTTGCGTAGCCCGGCGTAGCCTGCCGCCGGGGCGGGCCGCGAGCGCCGTGCCGCGAAGCGCGAGTCTGCAAACAACAGTCCAACAGCGGCAAGGGGGATTTCTCTTGATTGTGTGAGCAGCGGCAGCGCGGCAGCGTGCCGCGGCCGGGACTCGAACCGCGGCCCGCTGTTTGGTATGCGAGTGTCGGGGCCGCGCTAATGAAGAAGAAGGGGGTGCTGCTGGCACTGCTGGCAGTGCTGCGAGGCGCGCGACGCGCGGCGCGCTGCGCTGGAGGTGGCGGTGCAGGCCGCGACGCTGGCGGTCGCTGGCGGGGAGGTGCTTCCCTCAGCATGGCGCCCGGCCTGACTGCCCCTGGCCGTCGTGCCCCTGGCCGTCGTGCCCCTGGCCGTCGTGCCCCTGGCCGTCGTGCCCCTGGCGTGCGACCCGGCTACAAAGCGAGCGGGCCGCCTCCGGGCCGCTCCTCCCCGCCCTCTCCCCGTGTTGCCGTCTCCGTCCGGCCGAGGCTGAGAGCACAGCAGGCCGATTCCGAGAGCCGTTTTCGTCGCTCCGTCTCTCTCCCACCTACAGAGGACGCCCCACGAGTGCGAGAGAGGCGGAGCGACGAAAGCGACTCTCGGAATCAGTCTGCTGAAAGCCCTGAAAGCCAATCGCCGGGGGCAACAGAAACAAGCTGAACTGAACGCAGTGCCAAGGTTGCCCTCGCGGCCGGGAAGTTCATTGATCACCCCCCCTCCCCCTCCCCCTCCCCGGCCGGCCCAGAGGCAAGGCGGCCCGTGAAGTACGGCGGCGCTGGAAGCGAAAGGCGAAAGGCGTGGGCTGGAAAAGTGGTCAGCAGACCGATTCCACACAGCGCTTCGTCGCCTCGCTCTGTCCCTCTCGCGGCCGTCGGTGCGCCCCATGAGTGCGAGAGAGACAGAGCGAGGACGGCGATGTACGGAATCCGATCACCTGGCGCTCTGCAGCTTGATTGCGGACAGTGCCCTCTCTCTCTCTCTCTCTCTCTCTCTCTCTCTCTCTCTCTCTCTCTCTCTCTCTCTCTCTCTCTCTCTCTCTCTCTCTCTCTCTCTCTCCCCTCTCCTCTCTCTCTCTCTCCTCTCCTCTCTCTCTCTCTCTCTCCTCTCTCTCTCCTCCCCCTCTCCTCTCTCTCTCTCTCTCTCTCTCTCTCTCTCTCTGAGAGACAGGGCGACAAAAGCGCTGTTCGGAATGGAGCTGCTCAAATGGAAGCCAAGCCGGCCGGAAAACTAACCACTGTGTTGGGGATGGTGCTGTGCTGCGGCTGCGCCGGGCTGAGCGCTGCACGCTGTGGCGCGCTGTCTGCGTCGACTGCGTCTGCTTGTGGCCGTCCCCCGAATCGGTCCGAACCACCACCGACCGACCCGCGCCGCGCCATCGCCCCCACACTGTGCGGTAATACGGCTGAATACGGCGTTGCGGTGGCCGGTGGGTCCGGTGGCCGCAGCCGGTCCGAGCAGCGTGGACGGCGCGGACGCTGCTGGAGGGAGGTGTGTCGGTGTGGGGCACGGCCGGCCGCGCTCGACTCGGCTGCTTTCGGCTGCTTTCGGCTGCTTTCGGCTGCTTTCGGCTGCTTTCGGCTGCTTTCGGCTGCTTTCGGCTGCTTTCGGCTGCTTTCGGCTGCTTTCGGCGGCTTTCGGCTGCTTTCGGTTCTGGCCGCGAGCCAAGCGCTTTCCTCGGAGTGTATAAGTACCGCGCCCTTGTCCAGCCCCGCGGGGCCTCTGCCGGCTCTGCCGTTGCCTCTGCTGCTGCCGTACCTGGGAGGGCCGGCCGGCCTTCCTGCCCGGGAGGGAGGTGCTGCGAACAGCGAACCCACGGCACGGCCAGGCACAGCCAGGCACAGCCAATTACCAGGCCGTGCTCCAAGTTTCCCTGAGTACAATTTTGAGGCCGCTACACTCTGGGGAGAGTCCGCTGCACTGGCAACGTTGGTTCTCATCTCCGTGCAGTGTAGGCACGGCCTGCCTACCCGGGGCGAGGTGGTCACGACGGTCACGACCTGCAGAGCCTCGGCGCCCCGACCCCCACCGGGGCAGCCGACTGCGGCCGACTGTCCGAAGCGTCTTTCGTCGCGCTGTCTCTCACGCACCCCACGCCCATGAGTGCGGCAGAGACAGAGCGATGAAGTGACTCCTGGGAATCAGTCTGCTGTCTGCAAGACAGAGACAGAGACCGCCACAGAGCCGGGCGGCTCGTCGCGCAAAGACCCGAAGAGGGCGAAAAGATAGGTCGCTGTCATTCTGCCATTTTCTCGCTCCGACCCAAATGAGGCCTTCTTTTCTCCCGCCACCTCGGCCGGCGCACCGCCGTGCACCCCATGAGCCCCGTGAGCCAGGCCGCCAACCCGGCAGGCCGTCGGCAGGCCGCCAGGCCGCCAGGTATGGGCCAATCGATCTACAGCTGCAGGGCTTCAGGCCTTCAGGCCTTCGGGGATGGGGGCGGCTGGGGCACGGCCGGCACGGCACGGCGCCACCGTGGCCGAACCGCGGACACCATGGGCCGGGCCGCCGTGCTGCCGTGGGCTCGGTGCCCAGAGGCCCGAGTGGCCCCAGAGGCCCCAGGGGCCGTGTGCCATGTGCCCGTGGCTACGGCGGCGACGCTACCCGCTGCCAGCGCTGCCTGCCCGACGCTGTCCTTGCCACCGATTACCCCCCGGGGACTGCCGCCCGCCAGCCCGCCAGCCCACCGCGGAGGCGTCGCCCCGAAACAGCCCCGCCTCCGCCCCACCACGCCACCGCGCGCCGCCCGCACACCAACGTGATGGAGCCCCTTTTTCAACTGACCCACCTCACCGCTGGCTGCCGCCCTGCCGCCGCCCCGCCGCCGCGCGCCTTTAAAAAGGGCGAGGAAATACTTTCGGGTTCGGAGGAGGACGACGAAGAGAAAACGACTCGATTGCGTGCCGCTCCTTTTGTGCGGCCGCGGTGCGCGGTGAGGCCCGCCACCGCCAGGGCGCGCACGCCAGGCCGCGCCAAGAGACTAGTTCCGCACGGCGCGTCTACGTCGGCGATGGTCGTCGCTCCGTCTCTCTCGCACCTGCAGGGGGCGCACCATGAGTGCGAGGGAGACAGAGGAATCGGCCTGCTGGCGGCCGCGCCGGCACCGAGGTGCTCAAGACCGCCACTGGCGGGGAGACGACGGCAGGGAACGCGCAGTGCGCACCGTCTTGTCTCCTTAATGGGGGAGGCTCGAGGCTTTCGCTTGCCGCCTCGCCGCCTCGCCGCCGAGGAAGACGTACTCCTTAACTCCTTGCTCTCTTGACACAACGACCCCTAAGAGGCTTAGCTCTTTAGCATAATAACAAATGACAAAAGTCCTTTTTTTTTCGTCGTCTTCGTTGTTCAGAGCAAGCTGGCGGCGCTGCGGCGGTGGGTGAGCCCCTCAAGATCAACTGAAATGATTACTTTGCACCCGTATGGCGTTCAAGCTCCTGGCCATCTTGGAGATTGCATGCAAAAACATAGCATCTCTTCCCCCCCCCCCCCCCCCCCCCGCCCGCCCGGCTCGGCCCGCAGCGAGAGGCAGTTGTTCTTTCTGCCGTCTCTCTCGCCCTGTGTGTGTTGCGCTACTGGCGTCTTTCTCTGTCTCTACTCCGCCGCCGCGGGACGGAGGCAAATTAGCTTGAATGCTCTCTCCCCAATGAACGAATCCAGCGCGGGCAGACAAAGGGAGACCCGGCAAACGCATTACCCCTCCCCCTTCCCCTCCCCCCTCTCCCGCTGCGCCCCGCTGCGCCCCGCCCGCCGCACGCATTGTTTTCTTGTCTGCCTGCGGGGCGGGCCCTGCCTGGCCCTGCCGTGCCGGCACTGCCATGCCGGCCCTGCGGGGTGGGGGCGTGGGGGCCCGCTCCGCTACCATGCCGCTACCCCGTCCGCGCCTGCATCACGTGTGTGGCGCGCTCGCGGCCGGGGCCAACGGACTGCGGACGCCGCCCGTACGAACGGAATGCCCGCGTGGCGTGGCGTGGCGGCGTGGCGTGGCGTTGGATCGCGTGGCGTGTCGTATCGAACACGGGGGAATCCCCGGCCCGGCCGTGTACCCCTTTACGGTGTACCTCGCCCCCCAATTACGTTTCCCCTTCGGGACGAATTGCGCGCACCTTATTGTGTTGTTGTTTGACACGAGTGGAGGAGACGGGAGAGCATCTGCCCCTCCTCGCGCGCGACCGCGAGCTCCCTCCCTTCCAACCCTCCCTTCTTATTCGCGCTCTCCCACCCTCTTATTCGCACTCACCCTCTCTCTTATTCGCACTCACCCTCTCTCTTATTCGCACTCACCCTCTCTCTTTGCTCGCAGTCAACCCCCCTGCCCTCTCACTCGCCCTCGCCCCCGCTGCGCGCGCACAGTGCAGGCGGCAGCGTGATGCGTGGCAGTGTAGCGACATGCCAGCCTCGTTTATTATTCAAAATTAGCGATACGCCGCGTGACCTTTTTCAGGCCGGCTTTCAGAATATTCTTTCTCAGCTCCTTCCCTCTTGCCGCCCGCCCGCCTCCCGCGTTTCCTCCATGTTATTTTTCCTGCCGCTAATCTCGTGGACTTTGTCGGCTCGTAAACCAAACCAAACCTCCCCCGCCCCCTCCGCCCCTTTTTGTCCTCTGCGGTCTCCTCTCCCCCCGCGCCGTCCTCGCCGTCCTCGCCGTCCTCGCCGCCCCCGAGTGGCCAGGGCAGGCGAAGGACCAGCGCGACGGCGACACGGTACGGGCAGATGAGTTGCGGACTGCTCTGCCCCCGCCCCGCCCCGCCCCGCCCCGCCCCGCCCCGTCCCGAGAGGCTGGCCGTGCTGCCGCGCGCCCCACCGCGCCTCGCCGCGCCCCGTCCGGCTTATAATGTGTTTGTGTGTCAGCGTGATGGGGCCATGGGCCAGGGGGCCGCGTGGCCGCCGCACCGACGCCGAGGCGGCCGTCAGGCCGAGGCGAGGCCTCAGTCGTGGCAGCGCTGTGCGAGGCCGCGCTGCGCGAAGCCCCCAGGGCTGTTAATTGGTCTCGACACACACACACACACACACACACACACACGCGCGCGCGCGCGCGCGCGCGCACAAAAACAACTTCCTGACATTTGGTCCACTTCGAATAAACGCGAGTTTGTTTGTTATAACTTTTCCTTCCCGTCATTTGCCACATTTAAAAAACAAAATAACGGTTGATAGACGGCCGTGTCAGCAAAAAAAACAAAAAAAAAACATTGAATTCAGCCAGCGCCAACATAATGTCGATTTGCCCAGCGACGTGGGTCGGAACGCACGGCGGCACGGCAGCGTGCGCAAGATCCTAAAAACACTAATAAACCGCTTCCAAGAAATTAAGTCGTTTGCATGGCTCTGGCACCGGCGCGGCGCTCGCTGCAGAGCGCTGCAGAGCGAGAAGGGCGTAACAAATGGCTTTATTTGTCCTGGAAGTGAAGTAGATCCGACAGGTATGGGAGTGGCGCGCTGGCGCGCTGGCGCGGGGTGGGGCGTCGGTCCGCCCGCCTGGGCCCGCCTGGGCCCGCCTCACCGAGTCTCAAGCAACAGCACAGCAGTGTGCTTTCCGCTCCCCTATTTGTCTCTACCTTTCCTTCCGCTGGCTGGTGCCTGGCCTGCCTGGCGTCCCTGGAGAGGAGAGCGGCGAACGGGGAGGTGGGGCTCGAGATGATCGGCTCACTTTTCCTCACGAGTAACCAAGCAGGCAGCCGGCCAGCCAGCCCGGACGGACAGCGCTGTTGTTGGATCCTCGGCTGTGTGATGTGATTAAGTGGCGGGGATGCACCACCACCCCTCCCCCTCCCCCGTCCCGCCCCTCCCCACTGGCGCGGGCCCGACGCAAGCCTGGAGCTGGAACGGTCCTCTGTTTTCTTGTTTTCGCGACCTACCCCGTGGAGCCAGCACACAACAGCTGTTTCTGTCTGTCTGTCCGTCCGCGTACCCATTCGTCCTGTCTTCCACCGCATACACGTCGCGTTCCTGCCCCGCCCGGCTGCAACGCTGCGCCCGCTCTCCTGTTCGCCAAGTCTTTCCTCCTGCTCGCTGGGATCATGTGAGCTTCCGCTGCATTTACATAGGTGATTTCATCGCCTTGGTAAACGCCACCCCACCCCCTCCCCGTGCCCCCCTCTGCGCCCCCACCCCCAACCCCTCCCTTTTCCCAGCGCGCGTGGCGCGGCCGAAAGATATGCAAGCGCTCAAGTTGGCCATGAATATCAAGTGCACGCCAAGCAGTCAAGTACACAGCTAATGCTGCTCGGCTTGAACACGGTGGCGGGGCAGCGCGCCGGGCGCGGCGCGAACCGGGTGCTTTCCACGCCTCGGCCGCGTTTGGCAGAGGCCTGGTGGTGGAGGCCTGGTGGTGGAGGCCTGGTGGTGGAGGCCTGGTGGTGGAGGCCTGGTGGTGGAGGCCTGGTGGCGGAGGCCTGGTGGTGGAGGCCTGGTGGTGGAGGCCTGGTGGTGGAGGCCTGGTGGCGGAGGCCTGGTGGTGGAGGCCTGATGGTGGAGGCCTGGTGGTGGAGGCCTGATGGTGGAGGCCTGGTGGTGGAGGCCTGGTGGTGGAGGCCCGGTGGCGGAGGCCACGGCCATGGCCACGCCACTCCCGGTGAAGGCCCGCGCGGAAGCACCCCGATGTGCTCCTTCGCGGCTACGGGGTTGACCTTGTGGCCGAGGCGGAGAACTCCGGGCCGAGGCCGCAGAGACGGCCGCAGCGCGCCACACCACTCCAGCCAGTTCTCCGGTACAAGGCCGGCAGGGCCGGGAGCGGAGCGGGCCAGCGGGCCAGCGGGCCTCAGAGCGCGGATGGTCCTTTGGCAATTCATTTGGCTGTAAATCAGAAGCCTGGGCGGCCTGGGCTGGGGCCTCGGGCCTCGGCTGGGCTGGGATGATACCGCCAAACTGTTATCAAAGCGCCACTATTTCTCCACCGCGGCCTCCACAGGGGTGGTGCCGCCGTGCGCACAAAATAACCCTCCGAGAGAAAAACACATGCCCAAACAAAACAAAAAAAAGGCAAAAAACGCAGAGACAAAAGAAAAACACACTAAACGGAGTGCAGTGTGTGGCGGGGCCGGGCTAGCCGGGCGGGGCGGCAGCCTGTCTGCTGGTAGCTGCAGCAGTATGAGTGTGTCTGTGAGGCGAAGGTGGTCTCTGCAGTTGGCAGCAGTGTTATGGCGAGTGCTGCCGCCACCTCCACTGCGGTCGGAAGCGGAAACACACATGCAGGCGGGGAGAGTAGCGACTCCTCTACTTCTCCATCTTCTTCTTCTTCCATCCTCGTCGCGCGCGTCTCCGTGAAGTGCAAGCGGCACAAGGCCGTGCGGTGGCGGTGGCGGGGGTGTTTGCGGGAGCGCCCGCCACCTCGGCGAACACCCCCCGCCGCCCCCGCCGCCGCCCCTGCCACCGTTCACGTCCCCCGCATTCTGCTGCATTCTGCTGCCCCTTTCGGCCCGTCGGCGCGTCGGCCCGTCGCCCTTTCACCGGCTGCTGGTTTATGAACAAATCGAGGCAAACTTTGGCCTGCACGTCGAACTTGGCTTCATCAATTGGGGCTGCAGGCCCAGCAGGCTGCCGTTAGACTGCGCGAGTTATTGCACCGATTGAGGGACTCTACTGTTTATTCGCCCCTAATTGATCGACGGCGAGGCGAACGAGCGGCGCGGCCGAACCGCGTGACGCGGAGTGACGTCATCAGTCCCAGCAACAGTCCCGGTGACCTTGTTCCTCTTGTGTTGCAGCCGACAGCAGCTTCCTGCTGGCCAACGCGCAGATCGTCGATTTCCCCATCGTCTACTGCAACGAGTCTTTCTGTAAAATTTCCGGATACAACAGGGCAGAGGTGAGTCGCGCTGTCGCGCTGTGAGAACGAGATGAGAGAAAAGAAGAGAAATGCAGAGGCTGCGTGGGCGAGCGCCTGTGGAGCGGCGGGTAGGCACCCCGTCGAGCACGGCTGTGCACCGGGACGGCCTACCCCGGGATTCACAGGCGCTCCGCGTTCCGGCGCGGCGGGCGGGCGGGCACCACGGCGACCGCGGCCGTCCAGCGAGATAGCGTCTGCCGGCCCACGGGCGTTGGGGCGTTGGGGCCATGGGCCGCCATGGGCCGTAACCCTTTCACTGCCTGTGGAGGAGCCGATGGCGGCCGACCCGCTGCCGGTGCCCTGCACTGTAAGGGGCCGGTGTCGCGTATACCGAGCGAGTTTCGGAGAGTTTCGGTTTTCAAGTATTATTAATGGGGAAGGTGGTGGGGGAGGCCGGGGCTTTCGGCGGGACTTTCTGCTGCGACTTTTCAAACATTCATGTCAGGGGATGGGACGCCGGGACGCGGGGCGGCGGGATGGCGCCGACCCCCCGGGAAGGGTTCGGGGACCGCGCGGCGCCCGGCCCACCATCGGCCACCATCCCGCCGGCCCTGTCCGCGTCACTCTGTCAGTCTCTGTCTCCGGAGAAGACAGATTAATAGCAACACGGAGAAGCAACTTCTCGGGAGGCGGCGGCCAGCTCTTGAACCCCGCGCGACTTTGTTGCTTGTTTTCAGGTGATGCAGAAATCATGTCGGTGCACCTTCATGTACGGGGAGCTGACGGACAAGGAGACCATCTCCAGGATCGACATGGTGCTGGAGAACCAACTGCACGACCAGTTCGAGATCCTGCTCTACAAGAAAAACAGTAAGGCACCGCGGCCAGCCGGCACCGGGGTGGGGTGGGCCGGCTATTGGACTGGTCAAGGGCGTTACGATGGAGGGGAGGGGGAGGCCCCGCTCCGTTTGGAGTAATCTCGCTTCTCTGTAGCACTGGGGGTGGGGGTGGGGGTGGGAGGGGCTCCCTTCACCGCATAAAACGCGGCGGCCACATTCGAGCTCCCTCCAGACCGCGTGTGGGGCCTGCAGAGCTGTTGTCTGCAAACAAAAACATCGCGCTGGGCCTCCTTGTTGTTGATGCCCTGTTTGTCGTGTGCCCTTTTCGGTACACGCTCTCTTTCTGTCACCCCCAATCAGCAATAGACTTCCTCCACTTAAGGGAAAGCGTTTCCCGGATTGACGCTGTCAGTCGATAGGCCGACGACTGCCGACGGTGGGTCTGACGGTCTGACTGTGTGAGTGTGGTACTGCTTTGCGTACACTGTAGACTCTACGCCGTAGACTCTACGCCGCTAGCGGCGCCCCATCCGCGACCCGCCACGCGACGCGACGCGACGCGGCACGCGCGGGACGGCGCGGGGAAACATTAGCTTAACTTGAAATAAACAGAGCAGCGACGGTTTATCTTTGTATACACTTTGAGTAGAGTTACTACTATTTTTCCTACGGATTTTTTTAACTACTAGCGTAAAGACGCAGCTCCGATTAGCATAAGTAATGTTTTTGCACGTACACACCTCTGCTCTAATTTTGTCTATTTTGTCATTCCCATTTCAGCTATTTTACGTGCCTCAATTTATTTTTTGGACAGAGAACACTGCACCTTTTTCCTCTCGTAGGCACCATGCGAAGGTTTCTGTTGGTATCCCTGCGTGAGCTCATTTTAAACAGGCGGATTTTTTTTTCACTTTTCCAAACCGTGTACATACGCATACAATACGAATGCTGTGGGCATCAAAAATAAAAGCCCCGAACGTCTAGAGGAATAACATTAATTTTGCGCGGTACGAGGTTTTGATGAATACGAAACGAAACGGAACGCCTTCTTTTGTTCCTCGCCTTCCTTTGTTCGCGCGGTTTTCGGTTTTCGCCACGCGTGGTCCGGCTCCGCTCTGTTGAATTGAGATTGACAAAACACTGCGGGAGCGTACCTTTTGTGCGCAGGTTTTGATTGAACGGCCTCGCTTCGTTCTCGTAAATGCCTCCCCCAGATTAACTGTACATTTTGAGGATTATTGCAGATTTGAATAAGTTGATGAAACCTGTATCTTTGTAAAAAGCTTCACCTTTACTTTCTCTGTCTTTTGCTATCTTTTTCTTTTTTCCCCCTCTCAAGAACACTTATTTTGTTTTGCACTTCTCACTATTGCACTCCTCTAAACTTCTGAACGATAATTTTGTGCCTCTCTTTGATCGCTGAAAAATGCTCGACCTACCGTGAACGGCCATTTAAAAAAAACTTTTTGGGAACATTGGTAAATTTCTATTGGCCACGGCACAGTTTTTGTTCGATCTGCGACAAGTGTCTCTTTTTCTTCTATTTCTCACTGCTGTCTGTTTCTGTGGGCCATGGCCCTAAACTTCTGTCTTATTTTTTAAAATGTGCATGCCTTTACCTTTCTTCTTCCTTTTACAGATTCCCGTTTTTCTCACTATTTTTCAGCCTTTTGCCTCTTTTTCAAACCACTTCCCTGCACCTTTTGGAGCTCTTATCTCTGCAGCTAAGCTGATTTGCCGTATTTTTTCTACCATCTGACACCTTTCTCTTAATTTTGCCTTCCTCCTTCAAAACCGTTTCTTGTCTCGTCTTATCCTCCTCTCTCTCTTTTCCTTCTCTGATTATTGCTACGTCAGACTGTAAAGCAAACCTTGTAGGGTGGTTTCACAGCGATGAGCAGACATTCGGACATGATTCTAATCTGATTGGGACACGGCAAAGTTGAGGTCAAGGCGGATCAGAGCGGGCGTAGGTCTCTCCGCTTCTCCCCCGAGCCAGAGCGTACTGACTGGGCGATGCCGGGGGTGTGGACAGCCCAGGCACACAGTCTACACTGCCAAATAGTTGGTAGAACTTTGTCTTTCCTTTCTTTGTTACACCGACAGCGCACCCTAGCGACAGTGGTAGTCCTTGTCGACCTATTGCAGCTTTTCATTCATCGAAGTGACAATTCAATTGCTATGTTTGTTTTCCAAAGCCCCCGTCGTAAAGCCATTCGGACTGCCACTCAATTTGCGTAAGCCAAACCAAACCTTTCATTAAGTAGAGCTAGACCCTGCGAGCTGCGAGCTGATGCAAGCCGTGGCTGACTGTCTGTAGCGGCTTGCTGCACGGAGCTTGGCAGCTTGGCGTGCCCCCGAAAATGAACAACATGAAGAGACACTCCTCATCAAACATGGACCCGTCCCTCAGGAGGCGTCGCGGCGGCCGAGTCCAGCCGAGACGCGCCGCGCTGCCGGCCGCCTTGAAGGCCTCGGAGACCTTGGAGGCGGCCAGGCTGCGGCGGTGGTAGGCCGGCCGCGCGGCGCCCCTGCTCCCCGCCGCGTCGGCCCTGCCTGCGGCCTGCGGCCTGCGTCGACCCGACCCGTCCCTCGCGCCAGCTCGCGCGTTCCGCACGGGTGCGAGAGAGACAGAGCTCCGGGTCGACGCGGTGCTGGCCTCGGGGCGGCCACCCTACTTTGTTCCCTTGCTCCCCGACCTGACCACTACCAACCAACCCGCTCCGCTTTTGTGTCGTCTGTGGCGTAGTGTGCTTCCTGTTTCGTGGTGCATGCAGTCGTTAGGTTGGTAGCGCCGCGGCGCTCCCTGCGCCCGAGCAAGCCTCCGTCGTCGAGCGAGCGTTGGCCGCCCTGGGCAAGACGACATTGTCGCCGCTATGTTGCCACCTTTATTGTTCATTTCGAGGTCCACCAGTGGACTGCCGGGGCCACCCCGGTCGCCGCTCGCTCGGGAACAGGACGTGCCACGGCCAGCTTCTTGTAGATTTGTGCGAGCGTGAGTGTGCGAGTGTGCGTGTGTCTGTGTGTGCGTTGTTTGCGCATGGCATCTCTGTGGGGCCGTGGGTGTGTCTTCTAGCCGTATTGCGACCGACTGTTCCATCGGTCCCAACACCGTCGCCGGGCCTATAAGTGGGTGCATGAAGCAAGATCGATGGAGTGCTGCAAACGGCATCGCGTGCCCGTGCTGGTTCGTATCGGGTCAAACCCGCGCCGAAAAGAACCCGTTTTGCGCGCCGCGCGCTCGACCCGCTCAACGCGCGTGGGGGAGTTCCTCCTTGCACTATTGGCAGCCCTGCTGCCCTGCTCGTCTGCGAAATGACGGGGGCGGCGGGCTGACGGCGCACGGCGCACGGCGCGCGCGCACCGGACAGTCGTACCAACACTGACACGCGGCGCCGACTTGACTCCCTTCAGAAAAAGACCAAAGTTTTTCTTCAATACTTCTTCTTCCTCTTGTTGTCCTGTGCGCTTTTATTGCTGGCCTTGTTTATCTGCCACCGGGGACCGCGGCGACCGCGGCACCGATGCTGGCCTCCGCCCGCCAGACCGCCGCCGTGCCACTGCGCGCCGCCGGGACGGCGAGCGCCAAGGCGAGCGCCTCGCGTGCGTGCAGAACGCCCGCAACGCGTTCAGTTCATGGAAAAGGAAACGCAATGGCTCTAGATGAAAGAACAGAGTCCCGCCGTATTGGCTGAGAAATGCCAGTAAAGTGGTCCAAAATTCCCCGCTGGCCGCAACAGGTGCGTCGGCTATCGGTGAATTTGGCGAGCGCTGAGCGCTGAGCGCCCGGACGGCGGATGGCCGGATTCCTGGGCCTCGTCACCCACCACCCTACGACCCGCTTGGCGGCTTGGCCGCTTCCAAACTCCGGGGGGTGTTTTCTTTGGCGGTGAGGCTCGGCCTCGCCTCCGCAGGCTCCGCAGCGGCCCAGGCTGCCTGCGGTGCGTTGTGGCGGCGTCGCGGCGGGTCTGGCAGGGCTGGCGGCCAGCTCAGCTATTCCCGGAGCAGCGCGGCGACGCCAGGCAAGGCAACGCCTGCCCGGAGGCAAGCCGGAGCCAGGCGCCGCGCGGTCCCCGAGGAGCATGAGGATCTCCTGCACCGGGAGCAGCAGATGAGGGGAAGGGGTAGACTTTGTTGGGAGAGGGCGGAGGCCGTGACTTGCGGTGGCATGCCTGCCCGCCAGCCCCGTCTGGCCGGCTGGCTGGGCCGCCTTCGCTAGGCGGGGCGGGCGGGCAGGCAGGGCTGGCGGGCGGGCGCAAGCTGCGCAAGCGGGGCCACTGCCGCGCTGCCGCATGGGCCATGTTTAACCGACTGCACCTTGTCTCTGTTTGTGGCATTGCGCGTGGGCATGCAGGCACGCCGAGAGGTACGTAACCGTGTTTCAGGGGTCGTCCACGTATCACGTAACGCCTTCTCTCTCTCTCTCCCGTACTCATTGGCAGTCCATGGAGAAGCAAGCACAGAGCTGTGGGACAGCGTCACGTGATATGCGGACGATCCTCACGTAGGCCAGTAGCGTGGCGTAGCGCCAACGACCGGCAAGGGGCGCCAGCCTCGCCGTGCACTCCCCACGGGCATCGTGGACGTCGTGGACGTGGTGGACGGCCGCCGAGGATGAGAAACAAAACGAGATCCGAATGAAAATCTTACCGGTCTCGGTACCGCTTCATGATCTCTCATCCCTGCTGGCTGCACTGCGTAGCACTGCGACTGCGACTGCGGGCCGCCGCCCCTTGCCGGGGAGCGACAGAGACGGAGCGACAGCGTGGCGGAGGAAGGAGGGGGAAGGGTGTTGGCTCTCTCGCTGGCACGACGCGCGAAGCGTCACAGCCGCTGCGGGACATGTGTTAATGACTGGGAGTCGACCATCGCTCCGTCCTTTTTTTTTTTTTCACTTTTATTTTGTTTTTATCCGCTTCGGGTGTGAGAGCCATCCCTCTTTCCCGGAGAGCGAATAATGCCGGAACAGTTAGCGCGTGTGGTGCCGACCGTGCCGACGGCCCTTCTAATCTTGGGCAATTCCGCTTCCGTTGCGGAAAGAGAAGGCTGTTCCGGCATCGACCTCTCGATCCAAGCCTCGACCACGGTGACGCTCGACTCACTGTGATTCCCAAACAATTGATTGAAAAAAAATGTAGTCACTTTAAAAAAAATTACTTGTTAACACGGTTGAGTGTCACATATTTTTTTCTTAGTTACTCTTCCTTTCTTCTGTCTTAAAATAAGTCCAACCTTCACATTGGCGAGTAAAAAAACACAAAGTCTAAACACGTAGTCACGTTAGATTTACTGATAAATAATCATCCTGAGAGATAACTATCACTAATACTAAATTCGCTTCACTTCTGTTGCCATTGCAGTGTCGCCTGCTTGTTTAAGTGTGCTTCACTTCCTTCAATGTCTGTCACTCTCTGCCATGTCAAAGCTGGACAAAGCTGCCCTCCTACGCCCTGTGAGGGCGCGAAACACTCATAGCCTGAGTGAAAGTATCACTTCAATATAACTGATCCAAAAGTGATACGCTACGGCAAGCGTGTCGGCCAGTATCGGCCAGCGGTGACATGATGTAGCTTCTCACCTTCAAAGCTCCTGTTCTATCCTTCCCACACTCTCTCGAAACTGTTAGCATGTTCAGGAACAAATACTCGCAAGTCCCTCTCCGCAGGGAAAAAGACTCAAAGGCCGTGCGACTCGATCGTGTCCCCAAACGACCACGTGACAACTGCACCGATAATGACTCTGTCTGACTGTCTTGCGACCGACTGACGAGTAGGCTGGCTGGCTGGCTGTACACTATCAGCGCTTTGTGGTTCGATGCTGCTCGATGCCTGCCGGGCTCAGCCGGGCCGGGGACGGTGGGGCGGGGCGGGGCTGGGCGGCTGGGCTCTTAGACCACTCTAGAATCTGTCTAGTGACATGGGCTGCTTCGGCGGCATGGCGCGCATGGCGCGCATGGCCCATGGCGCCCTTCGGGCTGTTCATTTCGCCCGGGATCGAAGCCGAGCCAAGACTTTGTGATTTACGGTGTCTAGGCCAGAGTGGGTCCTGCAGGGTCCTGCCTGCCCGGCGGAGTGCGCGGGGCGGCGCGGAGCCGAGACGGTGTGAGCGCAGCGCGCCGCCATGGCATGGCGCAGCCTCGCGCAGCCCGGCGCAGCCCTCGGGGTGCACCTTGCCAACTGGACTGGCGTGGCCCGCACGATATGCATGCCTGTGTACATATTATGAGGATTCGCTTGTCACTCGCATACACTCACAGACACACACGCGCATCCCCACACGTATACAACACCCTGCACACTGCCCGCTGGATCGCCATCACGGACGTGCGCCTTGCCGGAGGGGCTCGACTGGCTCTACATCAGCGTGCGCGTCAGCGTGTGGTCGGCGAGCCTCTCTCGACAGCGGGGAGGGGCGGCGCGTCGACGGCAGCCTCCCATCCAGTCCGTCAAAAGGCCAAGCCAAGTCCACCCCCCAAAACGGAATTTCAGACTTTTTCTTTTTTTTCCAGTGGACCGAATCGCGCCGTCGCGGTGGTTAACACACGTTGGACAGTCGCCAGGCGCAGCAAAGCGCAGCGCAGCGAAGAGCAGAGGCAAGAGGGGCGGGAGGGGAAGGGGTGGGCGGAGAGGGCGGGGAGTAGCCTTCAGGCTGCACGGACTTCCTGAGGCCGCCCTATGTAAACTGCAACAGTCCTTATTCAAATCCAGCGGGGCCGTTCGGGCCGTCCGGGCCGCCCCGGCCGTTCCGAGCCGAGCGTGCACTTCTTGGAGTGCAGCGCCGTGCCTGCCCGAGGCCCGGCCCCAGCCTGCAGCATGCCTGCAGCCAGCGCGTGCAGTGGCGCGGAAGACCATTATTCACAGATGCCTCGCGACACGACGACACGTAGGCTGAACTACTACCAGTTCTGCAACTGCACCCCGAAGCGCCCCGAACGCGCTCAGCGCGCCGAACGTGACCCGAATGTGCTCCGCCTCTGTCACTCGCATTCATTCGCAATGAGGAGTGACAGAGAGGGAAGACAGGCGGTGCACCAGGAGCTCCCCATCAAATGCATTGATGAGATAGGCTAGCCAGTGGGCACAGCACACACACACACACAGACACACAAGCACACCGTCTCACACACACGCATACATTAACATACACAGATATGCACGAGCTTCCATCTGAGGCTGACGTTAACGGATGACTTGCAGAAACGCCGCTATGGCTGCTACTGCAGATTGCCCCCATCAAGAACGAGCGCGACCTGGTGGTGCTGTTCCTGCTCACCTTCCGGGACATCACCGCCCTCAAGCAGCCCATCGAGACGGACGACAACAAAGGCGGTGAGCCAACCTCCTCCTTGTTTCTCTTTTTTTCTTTGACTATTTTCCAAGAGATTTCTTATGTCATTTTCCTTCTTTCGCCATTTTATTTTTATTTTGTTTGTTTTGGTTTGTTCACTGTTCACTCATTCTGGTTTGTTTATTTACTTAGACACGGTTGTGCTGGAACGCGTCCTGTTTGTCTTTGACGCAGGACTGAGCAAATTCGCCAAGTTGGCCCGGTCCGTCACCCGCAGTCGCTCCGTGCTCGTGTCCCAGTTCTCCTCCCACCTCCCCAACCTCAAGGACACCGCCAAGCAGTCCAACTTGGCGCATGTAAGTACCCGCGCCGCCGCCACCCGCCGCCGAAATGGCCGCAAACGCCGCAAGCGGGAGCAGCCGACGCAGCGACGCAGCCAGACAGCCGATGAGTTTGACGTTTGTTGCTTTGTTGCCGTTGCCCCAGATGATGAGCCTGAGCGCGGACGTGATGCCCCAGTACCGCCAGGAGGCACCCAAGACGCCGCCCCACATCCTGCTGCACTACTGCGCCTTCAAGGCCATCTGGGACTGGATCATCCTGTGCCTCACTTTCTACACCGCCATCATGGTGCCCTACAACGTGGCCTTCAAGAACAAGACCTCGGAGGACGTGTCCCTGCTGGTAGTGGACTCCATCGTGGACGTCATCTTCTTCATCGACATCGTGCTCAACTTCCACACGACGTTCGTGGGCCCGGGCGGCGAGGTGGTGTCCGACCCCAAAGTGATCCGCATGAACTACCTCAAGTCCTGGTTCATCATCGACCTGCTGTCGTGCCTGCCGTACGACGTGTTCAACGCGTTTGACCACGACGAGGACGTAAGTAGCTCCGCGTCCTCGTTGTCCACGTTGTCCACGGCGGCCCCCCAGCGGGGCTCCGGCTCCCCTGGCGGCTCCACGCCCACGCCCCTGTCCCTGGCCGAGGCCCATCTGGCGCACCGCGTGCACCGCGGCGGCCCGCGCGGCGTGCGCAGCGCGCGAAGCACGAGCTTCCTGGACCCCGACGGGGACGGCAGCATCCTGGACAAGCACGTGAGTCCCTGCCCGCCCCCGCCCCGTCCCCTTGGCAAGAGCCTTGGGCAGAGAGCCTACACCGTAGCGCAGCCAGCCCGTACCCCCGCAGCCAGGCAGCCATGTTGTTGGCAACAGGTTAAGAGGGTGATTTTAAGTGGCGGGCATCAGCCCCCGTCTCCTCGAAGCATCCTGCCTGCATCCTGTCGGCATCCTGCCTGCATCCTGCCCGGCAGGCAGTCTGACGGTAGCGTAGACACACTCCCCTCCGGACATCTAGCGTCGCAGGTATTTCGTAGTCGCGATGTCTAAGGTAGGCGTAACGTTGACCCAGCCTGAGACAGTCTTAGAAGCCCCTCCATGACCCCCTGTAGTCCCCTTCTCCCCCACCCTCACTGCCCCTCCACCGCCCCCGCCGCCACCGCCAGGTCCCTCCCCTGCCGCACCCCCGAATGCGGGTTGCGTACCGCGCCACCCGCAGGCGCCCTGGGACTATGTCCGGTTTTTTCTTTTTTGCTCCTTGATTCTTCTCATATTTTAGTTTGCTTCTTGGCTGTCGTCCTTTCAAGTCGGCAATGCCGCTGACATGGACTGATTTATCGCTCGGCGCAGCTATAGAGATCCTTAAAATGCCGCGCATATTTTCCGTTTTTCATCCCATTTTGTTGTGGTCGCTGCCGGGCACGCAGTGCAGCTCGCTGGTTGGTGTTGCAGGGCATCGGGTCGCTGTTCAGCGCGCTCAAGGTGGTGCGGCTGCTGCGGCTGGGCCGCGTGGTGCGCAAGCTGGACCGCTACCTGGAGTACGGCGCCGCCATGCTCATCCTGCTGCTGTGCTTCTACATGCTGGTCGCCCACTGGCTGGCCTGCATCTGGTACTCCATCGGTGAGTCGCCGCCAGAGGGCCCCTGCTGTACAATTTGTGATACTTTGGCTCCTCCCTGTACGCACTGTACTCTAGCCCTGCAGCCACTCAAGGCCGTACTGCACTTGTTCTCCACTGATTGTGACAGCCGGTTTAGAGGGCATGCCGATGTCGTCATGTCGCCATGCCACCGCCGCAGGCCGCACAGGCCGTGCCACTGTGCCGGTTTGTTTTCCGTTTTGTGTGACCGAGGTCGGCATCGGCCAGCCGGCCCGGTCCAGAGCCACGCCAGCACACTGCCAATGGCGGGGTATCGGCCCCCACACACATGCAGTATGTGTTTTCAGAGTTGTTGTGTGCGTTGTTGTTGTTTTTTGCTGTTTTTTTTTCTGTGTTCCGTGGAGATGATTTCTAACGGGAATGACCATATTTGAGAGTAGAGACCAAATTCAAAGTGTGGCATGTTCGTGTGCTCCTTGTAACGCCATTTTTTAAATTTGTTTTCTTGGTTTTTAACGACAAACGGAAAAGCTGTAGAGTTGTAGTTATGTTTTTTTTTTCAGCGGTTGCTGTAACATTGAGGCAGTATGGCCGCCTTGTATTGATCAATGTCGTAGACCAATAGGGACTGGAATGCATCCTGTGTGACCTAACCTGACCTAACCAAACCTAACCTGACCTAACCTCTGCTTCTGTTTCACCGCGTGTGTCAGTGTGATCCACTTTGTGAGTAGCTTGGAGCCACTACGTGTGCCTGTGCCCTTGCCCTTACGCCCTTCCCGCTCGCAGCCGAGACAGACGCGTCCGTCGACGGGGCCGCGGAGGAGGCCGGGGCTGTGGCCGGGGCCGTAGCCTTAGCGGTAGCCGGGGCCGAGGCCGGGGCAGAGGCCGGGACCGAGGCGTCCCTCGAAGCGAATGGGTATAGCGATGAGAACGACGAAGGTAGGCCATGGCCGAGGCCGTGAGGCCGTCACGGAAGTGCATCCCGCATTTCGACTCCACTTCCGCTTTGCCGGCCTTTGCCACGCCCGGGACGAGTTGAGTTGCAGCCCACTCCAGCCAGAAGCAAAAACAAAAACGCTTGTTTCGACTGAATTAGAAATGGGGCGACCGGGCCAATCAGGCAGCCAAGGCGCCAGCGGGCTGCGGCGCTGCGGCCGGGGCTGCGTAACAAGCGTCACGGACCGCGGCGCCCCGGACGCAGCCACGCAGCCCGGGGCCGAGCGGCCGAGCGCCGCCCTGTCAGCACGGCGTGATTGATTCAAATGGCGATACCTCGAAAATAAAAAAATAACAGACAAAAAACGCAACGAAAATGCGCCATCGGTCGTCTTTTTGCCGTAAACGGGTATCGATGTGTCGCGACGTTTCGAGTGACGTTATCTAGTCGTTGCCCAATGCTACTGGAGTGACGTTTGAATAGCCGGTATCACCGCCACCGTCGAATCAATAACGGTAATCGGCGTTAATCGCAGTCGAAACAAAGACGGAACTTCTGGCTGGACACACGGCGGCGGGGCGCACAAGGACAGGCCGCCCCCCGCAGCCCCCCGCCCTGGGGGTGGGCCCTCCGGGACCCTCCGGGGCCTTCTGGGGGTGGGGCGGCGCAGCACCCAGCCCAAATGAAGAGCTTAGCAGCAGTACTTACCGCTTCCATTCCCACATGTTCATGGAACGGAGCCATAACCCCGCATTTAAACGGCCACAATGAGGTTTTGAACCGCCGGGCCTTCCCGCCTTTCCCGCGCCGCCCTCGCTCCGCCCCGACTCGGCTGGCCGCGCGCCAGATGGCGGGGCCGAGGCAAGCCGAGGAGCCGAGTGGCAGAGGCTTGCCGCCCGGCCCGGCCCGCCAAGACGAGGCCGGCGAGGCCCGGCCCCCGTCCCAACCGCCGCCAAGGCTGGCCGCGCTGGCCAGGCACCGGGCAGCGCGCCGAGCGGGGCGGAGCGAGGGCGGCACGCAGGCACGCCGAACACGCCACCTTGTTGTTGTTTCTGCGAGGCTTTGTATTTGTTTTTTGCCACGATTTAGTGCTCGGCAGTCGCGCGCGGGGTGCGTAATGACTCTACTCGCTCCGCATAAAGCGGGCCGCGTAGCGCGCACAGTCCAGTCCAGAACGACGACGGCGTTAGCCTGGCGGGCGGCCACTCGAGCCCCCCGCCCCTTCTCCTCCTCGGCCGTCCGGAAGGAAATAAGTTTCCGGTCTCTTTGATGGGGCGGGGAATAGATCAATCTATCAAAAGTGCTAACTAAAAAAAAGGAAAGACGAAACCGTCGTAAGTTCAGCCCCTTAGCTGTTCTAAACAGGGGAAAGTGTAGGACGAAATGGCTCCACGGCACAGCGACAGCGCGACTCACCGGAATAAGCTTACTGCCGCCGCAAGGCCCCACGCCGAACCACCCACCTCGGCCCGCCTGGCCCGCCTGGCCGGGCAGGGGGAAATAAAAAGGTCAAAAAGTGGGTCACGTTTTGCTTTGCGCTTTGCGCGCTTGGCGCCTCAAGCGGGATTACTCTCGGTGGTCCCACTGCACCCCGGCAGGGCAGGGCGGCACCGCGGCGGCACCGCGGCGGCGCACCGTCCACCACGAGGTACTTAGCGGCCGCCACCAGGCCACCCCACTGTCGCAGAGCCGCCTGCTGCAATTCCACCCGCACCTTTTTCCACGAAACGCTTCCACTACTCGACAAGGGAATTAGGTAATGAAGCTAATTTGCGCGGGCCAGGCATGCGGGAGTCAACACAGCGCCGCGCTGCGCGCGCTGCCTGCCTGCTCGGGCGGCCTGCCTCTTGGACCGCCTGCTGCCTGCCTGCGCGGCGGCGCGCGGCGCGGACCGGGTTCACTGATCTGGCTGAGCGGGCCGTGTGATGACGGAGGGCGGTGAGGGGGCGGGGGATGAGAGTACACTTGAGGCGGGGTAAGGCTTCTGATCCAACAGGATCACAAGGTGTGAACCTCACCTGAGCTTCACCCCCCTCTCCCCCTTGGATCGCGACGCTGCCGCGCTCACCGCACGCCGGGAGGGGAGGGGAGCACGCAGCGCTGCGCACTCGGGTTGGCTCGGCAAATATTTGCCTCCTCATGTTTGATAATGTAGCAGAGGGGCGGCGCGGCACGGCGCGGCCAGGCCGTTCTGCCCGCGTCAACGTAAGCCTCATCGCGGGGCGGCGTGTAAATAAATTCCAAACGAAGGGGGCGGGATTTGAAAGTTTAAATAATTGCTTTGGCGGTGCCCGGCCCGGCCGGCGCCCTTTCCCCCAGTGTAGTAGACTACCCCCTCGGCGGGAGTATGCGAACGAACGAACCTCTTCGTTGTTCTGGTGGAACACGGGGGCTTCTTCTGCCTGCGGACGGGCGGTCGTTATTTCAGTTTTGCACTTAAATCATTAAAAACAACTTTTTGTTACTCACAGAAAATTCATGTTGCTTTTGAATGTGAACCTTCGTGTGCGGCCGCCTCGGTCGCCCACTCGTCCCGCGCACGATGGTTCCCCAATGCAAAATTCAGTCGGTGTAGGAGAAAGAAAACGGAAGAGATTTTGAAAAAAGGACTGCGGCGGTTGTTGCAGGGCGGTCCGACGCGGACAATGGCATCCAATACTCGTGGCTCTGGAAGCTGGCCAACGTGACACAGTCACCCTACCTGTACGCGTGGAACAACGAGACCAACATGCCCGAGCTGACCAACGGGCCGAGCAGGAAGACCATGTACGTGACGGCGCTCTACTTCACCATGACGTGCATGACCAGCGTGGGCTTTGGCAACGTGGCGGCCGAGACGGACAACGAGAAGATCTTCACCATCTGCATGATGATCATCGCAGGTGCGAACTCGTTTAGCTAGGTCCTGTGTTGGTCGAAGGAAGAAAATAAAAGTTGATTTGACTTTGTCTGCACAGCCCTGCTGTACGCCACCATCTTCGGTCACGTGACCACCATCATCCAGCAGATGACGTCGGCCACGGCCAAGTACCACGACATGCTCAACAACGTGCGCGAGTTCATGAAGCTGCACGAGGTGCCGAAGGGGCTGTCGGAGAGGGTCATGGACTATGTGGTGTCCACGTGGGCTATGACCAAGGGCTTGGATACGGATAAGGTAAACCAGGTCAGGAGCCACTGAAGAAAATAACATCTTCGTTTTCGAATCGTTTTTCCCTCTCTCTTTACTTATCCACGACGTCACGCGCGTGAGGCAGGCCCAGTGGGCACACCGAGTGACGGAGTAGCGTATTATTAATTTGCTCTTTGCCGGACGAGGACGGATGGCAAGCAAAATCTCTAGAAAATTGTCTGCTTATTTTTCTCGACGCTTCGCAGAGAGCTGAAGTTTTAATTTGTATTCTTTCCACAACAAAAGCTTTAGCAGATACATACATTTTTAAAAAAAATAAGTCTCTCTGCGTCAAAATTTTATTTTTCACAATATTTTTCTTTTCTTTGTTGCAATTAAAACTTTAATTGCCTTACTCTTTGCCATATCGTAGATTTTCGTACCGTCGACACTGTTGTGTTCGGCGGTTTCCAAGTACCTTTTGCGAGTGTTATTTTCTTCACAAGCTTCTGGGCGCACCGAATCAGTTACTACACTAGTCGTAGCAGGCCCCTCAGGCTGGCGAGAAGCTCGTAGCGGCCAAAGCGCGCACTTAACGGCACACTTTCATAATTTAGACTTGCCCATGCCAGTCAGAGAGCCACTGGGGGTTGAAAATAGAGCATTACGTCAGCAAGCAATCAGCTGTCGGCATTCCAACGTGCTCTCTGACCACAGTCACGAAGCGGCCGTGGGTCAAATACCATTGCAAGCGCTGGCATACTCAACCTTTTTTTCGCCGTTCTTTCCGCCTTGCGGCTTGAGTAGTCGACGACAGCGTGCTGCCGTGCCGCGGCCGTGCCGCCGTTGCCAAGTCCCAAGGTCGTACTGTACCTGTCCGCTCGCCTTCCGCCAGGTGCTCAACTACTGCCCCAAGGACATGAAGGCCGACATCTGCGTGCACCTGAACCGGAAGGTCTTCAACGAGCACCCCGCCTTCAGGCTGGCGAGTGACGGCTGCCTCCGCGCGCTCGCCATGCACTTCACCATGTCGCACTCGGCGCCCGGCGACCTGCTGTACCACACGGGGGAGTCCATCGACTCGCTATGCTTCATCGTGACGGGGTCGCTGGAGGTCATTCAGGACGACGAGGTGGTCGCCATCCTCGGTAAGGACGGAACAGGGAGTGAAGGTAATGTAAGGCGGCGCTGGGGGCAGGCGGTACGCGGGGGGCGGCCGGGGACTCACAGTGTACCTGCGCAGGCAAGGGTGACGTGTTCGGGGACTCCTTCTGGAAGGACTCCGCCGTCGGCCAGTCGGCCGCCAACGTGCGCGCGCTCACCTACTGCGACTTGCACACCATCAAGAGGGACAAGCTGCTGGAGGTGCTGGACTTCTACCAGGCCTTCGCCAACTCGTTCGCGCGGAACCTGGTGCTCACTTACAACCTGCGCCACCGAGTGAGTAGCCGAGTGGCCCCGCAAAAGGGGGAACAGGTGGTGATGAAAAAATGGGAGGGGAAAAACGGGATTTGAACCCGCGCCTCTGCGCAGCTCATCTTCCGGAAGGTGGCGGACGTGCGGCGAGAGAAGGAGCTGGCGGAGAGACGCAAGAACGAGCCTCAGCTGGACCAGAACCAAGACCACCTCGTCAGGAAAATATTCTCCAAGTTCCGGCGCGACCGCGCAGCCCACCAACAGCCGGTACGTTCTCAACCTGCGGGAGGGGCTGTAGGCCTCTTTCTGGACGGACGCGGAGGCGCGGAGGCGCGAAGGGAGAGGGCGTCGAAGGGCTGGTGGCGGACGCCGCCAGGACGCCGCCCACAGTGTGCCACAGCCCGACCGACCCGGCCCGAGGCCCGGACGGGACCCCGATTATCCAAACTTTTATCGGCTCCTTTCCCCTGCTAAAGTCGTTGGACGTTTTTTCCTGCCTCCAGTCGCCGAGTCAAGACGTGGAGAGAGGAGGGGAGTCGTTCAGCGATGGGGGCGGCGGGACCAGCGGCGGCGAGGGCGGCGGCAGGCCGGTGAGCGGGGCGGGGCGGGGCGGGGCGGGGGGGGCGGGGCGGGGCGGGGCGGCTGGGGCTGGCAGGGCTTGGGGCCGTTTGGCGCGAGACTGACCGACTCTGTTCCAGGTGCTGACCAAGCAGTTGTCCAGCGTGGTGGAGAGGGACAGCTCCGAGCCGGAGAGCGGGGGCGGCGAGGGCGGTGGAGGCGGGTCGGGGGGCGGCACTTCTTCGGCGCTGGTGGTGGCAGCGGCCAGGCCCGCCCGGCCCCTCGGGGCGCGACCATCCAAGTGGGGCCGCCTGCTCGGCTCCAGCTCCCTGGACTCGGGCAGCGAGTCGGCGAGGTAACGTGAAGGCTGTGTCGCACCACTGCGGGACGCCCCACGAGTGCGGCAGACAGGGCGACGTCGCCGCGGCGATGGGCTGACAGGTGCATTGTGTTGCAGCGGCGCCACGGCCCCACTGTCCGGCCACGGCCCCTCGCTGGCCGCCATCGGCCGCTCCAGCTCCACCGCGGGGGGCTCCGGCTCTGCCTCCAGCAGCGGGATGTCTTCTGGTTCGGGGAACAAGGTCAGTGTGTCGGTTAAGGAGGACGGGGCCAAGACGGGGCCAAGACGGGGCCCGAAACGGCATACGATCAGTTGTGGTCCAGCCCGTAGTGGTAATGGTAATGCGAGGTAGGCCGGCCCGCAGCACGGACTTGGGGCGCGGGCCAGCCTATCCTCACGACTGCAGGCGCTTTCTCCGCTCGGCTCCGCTGGCTGTAAAGCACACCGCGCACGCAGCGCCGCGGAACGGGACGGGGCGCGCGCGTTCTGCAGAGCTCTGCTAGGGAAGCTGTCGGGGGATTCGGGCCAGTACGTTGAGGTGAATCGGGTGTATGTCGACACGCCGCCTCGTGACTCTCGTCTCGTGTGTCGCAGGTGTTCCCCAAGCTGCAGAAGGTGTCGGCGCCCGGCTCGAGTTCAGGTGCCGGCTCGGGGCCCGGGCCGCCCGGGAGCCTGCTGCCCACCATCACGCGCCAGGAGACCATCGAGGAGGTGGTGGAGCTGGAGGAGCGCGACGTGGGGCGGCCGAGTCCCGCGCACGTCGCCGCAACCCCCGCCCTGCCCGCCCTGCCCGCCCCCGTGGTCCCCGCTCTGACCCTCACTGCGGCGCCCATCTCGGGCGTGCAGTACAAGGAGCTCATCGGCAACATAATGGACTTCAAGGTGGACGTCAAGCTGGAGGTGCAAAGACTGAACCAGAAGGTGTCTCGCATGGAGGACATCCTGTCCGTGATCGCGTCGAGACTGGAGACCGTGGTGGCGTCCCACACGCCGCACACGCCCGCCAGCACGCACGAGCACACGCACCGCACCACCACCACAACCACCACCGTAGTGGCGCCGCCGACGTCGCTGTCACTGCCTCTGCCCGTGGTGGTGGACACCTCGGCCACGGCCTCGACCGCGGCGGAGAGCCCGGGGGCCGCGCTGACGCCGTCCAGCAGTGACGGCCTCAGCCTGGGCCTCAGCCTGGCGGCCCCCACCCCGGGGAGTGTGATTCTGAAAAAGCGAAGGAGCAAATCTCGGACTAAAGCTGCGGCGCCCGCCCCGCCTCCGCAGGGATCTGCCGGCAGCGCGCCGCAGCCGCCCCCGCCCCCGCCCCGACACACGGCCGCAGAGGCGAGGACTCCAGAGGAGGGGGCGGGGCCGGGGGCGGGGACCGGGGGCAGCGCGAGCAGCACGCCCAGCACGCCCCCCGCGGACGATGAGGGCAAGAGGCCCAGAAGACCAAGAGAGTTCCTATAGCAGTGCGAGTGATTGTAAACAAAGGAACAAAAACAATCTTTCTTTAATGTTCAGTTATTTTCTACTCATTTCCTATGAAGCAATTGGAGACTTGGGGGGTAGCCCCCCTGGCCCGGACCAGGAGATGTTTTTAAACTCTTTATCACCTGTTTCATACTCCCAACAAGTGAAGGTGCTCTTTTCAAAGAAAATATTTTTTAGGAAACGGGACATGAAATATTTTTAGATACATGTCAATTAGTCTGGTCCAAAATGTTGTTGCTAGTTGTTAACTTTCTCACTGAAAAAAGATACAAAATAAAGGGACTGGAAAGTTGTATGAGTCAGTTACATGTACATATATATACATGAAGGAATGGCCGTGTACAAGCAATACTTTTTCACATAATACAACAGTCATGCATGACAGACATAATTTTTCCTATCTGCTGTTTACTTGTTTGCTGACTTGCAGCCTGGATATTTGTTCTATTTTATAAACACAGAAATGGTTAGTGAAGTTTCCTGATAAATTTATATTGATAGCCAATGGAGCAGGGTACAGCTCAGGGAACACCATGATAGCAAGAAAAGAGAAAACAATATGAAAAGACAATTTGAAGAACAAACAGAGCTCTAAACTTTCATGAAAGAAAATATCCTTTGCATTGTAACTTCAATACAAAATGTTGATAACTTCCTAGTTGCATAGCATTAGGTAGTAAAAATATAAAATTAAATGCACTTTGGAATAATTAACATCATCCATCTTTCCTGCACAAAATCTGTCCTTCTGTCTGTAGTACATCTCACATATCGGACCATCCGTTCTAATTTTCCTATTTTCACTTTCAAGTGAAGCTTAGCTTTCTGCTTGATAATTACTGTTTTTATGCAGCTATCTAATGTGCAGACAAGAAGGCTGATTCAGTTATCTTGAACGATACTAGAACAGGGGTAAATTTAAAATGAGCGGCAAACAGTAGTTTTCTATTTTTTTAAATGTGTAATAATTGTTTAGGTTTGATTTTGAACACCACTGAATGGGTATAAATTTATTATGCTGGAATTTTATAACACAAACAGTATCTTTTTCTTTTGAGTGAAGTGAGAGATTAATCTGAGGAACCTAGCTCCAAATTTCCTGCAATTTTCTATCATTCAGTTCAGTTGTCTACTCTCCCTCTTACGATCAAAACTGTCCACTCACTTTAAATGGAAATAGTTGCAAATTACTAACAGAGAATCAACATGCTGATATTATCATTCAAACATAGATTTTGACGATATGGCCAAAATATTCCATATGTCAGGGACCAACTTAAATGAAATTTACTTGAGATGAGGTAATCATAATTTTTGCCCTTATAAGTTCCTTTTCCCACTACAGCGAGCAATACGGCTTTACCGTTCAATGGTCCCAGCTATGCTTCAGGATAAGTTTGACCCAATTGACAGTTAAAACTAAAAATTTGCTTGTCTGAAAAAATGACTTGGCTGCCCTATTTAGGAGAGCAAACTAGTATTTTAATTGTTTGTCATTATTACAGATCCAAAATAAATTACTAAAATAAAAATAATAAAATCTTGGGCGTGTGCCTAACTTAAACCAGGTGTTCTGCTTCAGACATAAACAAACGTCGCCATTTTCTTCAGCAGAGTGTATCTCTATGGTCACAAGAGCTCAATGATTGTTCCTCTCATGGCAATAAGCAGAAGGCTGTTAAAAAAAGGATCAGATTTTCAGCCTCAAACTAACCAACCAGGCAACACACAGATATTCATTGTTAAGATTAGAGAAACAATAAGGCTGCTTTTTCATAGAAATGAATAAAATCTGATTGATGTGTAGTTTAAAAGAAAATCAAAATAAACGTTTTTTTTTTCTAAATTTGATGATAACACCCTATTGACATTTTTTAATAGTGGTGTAAAAGAGCACAGCTATCACAACAGTGAGAGGCTGCAAATATGCTGACCCACCCTGGCATAGGATCTTGAATTTTGTCCATTTAGATCTGGCATTCTGATGGGTCACTCACACTTTCAGTATATTAATTTTACACTCCCAATTTTAAATGGCTTGTCAGGTTGTTGGGGAGAGATGTTAATAATATGGCCACAAGGCAGAGAAAATTGTTGTCTTCCCTTGCAAGTTACTAACCCTGATCCACCCTTTACCCCTACACTATGGAAAATTGACCAATACCCTAGTTTATAGTTAAATGGAAAGAAATGTGTTTTTACCAAATTTTTCAATGGGTTAGTACTGGGATGAGTGTGACCTTACTTCAGGTTCACTCTAGCAAGGAAATGCAATAGATAAGACTGGGCCTCAGCTATGAACATCATACTAAGATTTTACCATTAGTATTTATACTGTTTGTCTATGTGGTCTATTAGCTCAATTCAAGTGCTCAATGTTGCATAATAAGGTAAGCAAACAACTCATATGATGACCTTGCATGAAATTTCTCTTGGATTTCAGTTTTTATTTGTGATATGTTGTAATTTTCCTTTCTTTGCTTCAATATTGAGAGTTACCAAAAATGATCTGATGAAACTAGCTGTTGATTATGATGATTCATGATGAATTTTCCCACCGAAGTTAACTTTCATTGTCATATTTTATAAGGCAAAGGGGGAAATAAAAAATAAAGACAGCCTCAGAACTGCCAAGACCTGCTGATAAAGCAGATAAAACCATGAAACTGAGATTTATGTTTCTTCTGTTTTCTTATGTTAAATTTTTACTAAACGAGCAATAATTCTAAAAGTACAGCATTAGGTTTAGGTAAAATCAATTTCAAGGAAAAACATATTGGAAATTGGTGTGCTCAAGGAGAAGATAAAGCATGTATGCAAAAGTGACCTCGAAACTCCACTGTCAGAAAGCAATGTTTGTATTTAGTAATTGAGTAAGTTCTTCCAATGTTTAAAATTTTAAAGAGAATAAAAGTTAATAAATCGAGTTAAATGACAATGAATGTAACTGGTTGCTAAAGATTTTAAACTAACTTCCCTCAGAAAACTTGATGCAAAAGGAAAAAGTTGATGCAAAAGGAAAAAGCTGTTGTTTGTTTTTTTTAATCTGAGACATGGGTAGTCACAAAATAAACAATACTGTTTGTAAAAATAACAAATTAAAAGTAAGTTTTCAATGAAACAACAACCTCTTTCACCTTCTGAACAAACTAAAATATGGTTCATTTGAGGTCAAATGGTTTGGTGATACCATGCATAATTGACAGTCAACTTCAAGGTACTGAACATTTAGTACACCCTAATCTTGGCCTGTTCCAAGTAAGTACAGTAGTACCTTTCTTTTTTACTGCCACCCTTAACTCACATTACTACAACCATAAATAGTAATAATAATTATAAATAACCATCACAGACTAATCAGATAGAATCAAATCAAATAACCCAACAGTTAAGAATCACGGCAAGTTTTGACCAATACAGGCAAGTTTAGAGTAGTTATTCGACTCAATGCAGTGGCAGCTTTGAGAAAAAGTGGAGCTGCAGAAAAATGCAGTTCCGGATTGCACAGCAAAGGATCACAGCTCAATATGTTACAGACCTCCCACTCCGCTTGGGCTAGTTGAAGCTGCTGGATTCTCATCTGAAGCAAATTCCAAATGACTTCGTTTTGATACTGAACACAAAATGCACCAACTGAAAAGTAACAAAATGGGAAATAAAGACTCAAATAAAGGGGAGAAGCAAAAGTTTGAAGTATTTCTACAGCATCTTACCTGATAAGGTGCTATAGATGGTAGGGTTCCAAACTCCAACAAATGGATACTTGTTGTCCGACTGGGACACTGCTACATTAGATAAACTTTTTTCCTCTTCAAACATAGGAATTTTTCCATTGTGTTCATTGGAGGCAAGGGAAGGAAGATCTATGAGTAAACTGCTAAAGGAAGGAATTTTATTCCACCTGGTTTCGTTCTGGAAAAGAAAAAGAAAACGAAAAAAAAAAAAGACCCAAACAATTGTGCTTAGAGTTTTGAAAAATATAAATCACAATAAAAAGGAAAGTTCTGCATAATTTTACAAGCATACTAACAACAGCATTAAGATGTCTCAAAAAAGATGATTCTGAACGATTCTTCCCATTGCTTGTTCTTAATCTATTGATGAACTGATGAACTGACTTAAGAACTGAGACCAATTCAGGGGGAATCCCTTTGACATCAAGAGCCTCTGCCAGGCCAACAGTTGGCGTATTCTTTGGTTTTGGGGAACCATCATGAACAGGGCACAAATGGCTATGCCTCTCTTGTTTTTCTGCTAAACAGCTACTTGACTGTTAATTTAATAAACAAGAAAGCAAAAATGAAACAGAATTAAAGGAAACATGTAGGTGTTCAGTTTTCTAGAGTTGGTATTGTAAATAGTACAATTCTAGACACATACTTTAATCTGACTGCCACCACTGTTGCTGGCAGTTTTTTTAGATGAACCGTTGGTCATGTTTCCCTTGATAAATCTATCTCTGTTGTAGCCTAAGCCAAACTTGCCTGCGGGTACCTCCTTTATTGAGTTTGACTGAATAGAAAGAGAACCAGTTTTTTTTATGACAAAGAGCTATAATTAAAATAATTGTGATGAAGTTTAGCTGCTTTACATACCTTTTTTGCTTCCTCTTTACTGCCGTTACTTGCGACTTCATCCGGCCATGGGCTTGATACATCACTTCGACCTTCCCGAACACACTGTGAGTATTTAACTGCTTTTCCTACCTTGTCGAGCACAGCGACAAGCTGTTGCTTCTGAACCTCAGCACATCGGCACACATCAGGGGTACTTTCATCCTCGGGTAGAAGCCAGCCATGCAGCAGCTCCTGTGCTTCCCTAGAGTGGGCTTCAATGCTCAGTTTGCTTTGATGAGTTGAAGCAAATAGTGACTCCAACAAAGTTATTAATCTGAAATAAGAAAATACAGTTTGTTTCACATTCTAGACTATCCAAAAATCGCTCTGGAAATTTTATAACGTGATGAGATGGTTGCAAAATACTGAAATAATTCGACGCTGCAATCAACATTGCAACCCATCAAAACCTAAGAGTCAAAGAAAGAAAACATAGACACACCATACCTGTGCAGACTATGTTGGTTAGAATCAAATTCCATTGCTAATATGAGACTCGTAATTCGATGACAATTTTGGGACTTGGCGAAACAATGCCTTAGAAATGCAGCTAACAAGACATCAATTAAACTGGACTTGAAGAAGATGACTATTTGAATCGGTTTCGAGGTTGCGTTTGGCTTGTTTGGTGATCGGGGTGTGAGTGTGTATGTGTCGGATGTGCTTGTGTGTGTGTGTCTGCGACGTGCCGTGCCGGTCTCGCTTGGCGCGAAATTTCGATTTCTAGCACCTGGGAGACTTTTCCCTTTCGACTCTCCGATGCGCTTCAAACAGCCTTGATAGCGCAAAAAGGGTGAATGTGATGTGATTGAAGGGAAGGGGACGGTGGTTACGTGCCAAACGTGCCGCACGCGTACTGCGCGACGCGCGTATGGTAGACGTATTCCGACAGCCCCAGGAAGGTGCTAGAGGGTGTAGGAACGTTCCAACATCGTGTTTGAGGCGAGTAAGGTTTAATCGACCGCAGCCAAAAACAAAACGAGTAATAATAAATAACTGTAAAACAAATATAATTGATGCCTTGAAATTCATTGATCAAATCGAAAACCCATTTTAAAAGTATAATATCAATATCCTGCCCTAAGTAAATCACGGAGTTGTTGACTTAGTTTTTCTTCTTTCATTCTTCGAATGTGGCTCATCTGTAAAAGTTACACTCAGTTATGCAATTGTAGTGACAATAAGATAAAAAATAATTTCAGAATCCTCTTACCATGCGCTTATTTACATAGTCTACCAAAAATTGATCCAGGTTCATTTCACCAGAGAGGAAATGCTCAGCCACGCGTTCACTTTGCTCATCGGCATGGAGAGTTGCTGCTCGTAGACTTTCCTAGGAGCAAAATTAAAAGGTCAAATCAGGTGCATCGGGCTACTTTTCTCCCAGCAAACAACACATGCCAGATTTATTCACGTACCCTAATACTTGCTGGCGTCCGGCGATCTGCTAAACGCTGAAAATGAACTCCTAACTCCTCATATGAAGAATGAACCTCATTCAAAATCTGTCTACGTTCTTCACAGGCTGAATGTGACTCATTTAGCTTTGATTGTTTCTCCAGATTCTCTTCTAAAATTTGAAAAACAAGATAAAATAAAACAAAAATACTTCCAGCTTTGTTATTTATATTTTTAAATAGACTTACTGGCCAAATTTTCAACAGTTGTCATAAGTTGATCAAGCTGTTCATCCAACTCACGGGACACAGGTAGCTGCTCAAGAAATTCATTCCTACGATCTTGGTTATCCATAAGTGCTTGAAGCTCACTCACACTTAGTTCAGCTAATTCTGGAAATATCTAATAGAGAAAAGGCTTAAAGTAACACACTTTGAGTGGGACAAGCTTGAGCAAAAGTCAGTAAGCAGATATAAATAGGTACCATTTGTTGTAACTGTGTTTGCTGCAGTGGTTGAGTAGAAGAAGGTGCTTGTGCTTGTGAATTAGCTTCATTTGGAGCATTAGTAACTATAGTTGAGCCTGCAAGGTAAATGATAGTATTTTGTTTAATTTTTGAGAACTGTGAGTGAAAATTATCAAAATAAAATGGAAAAAGATACAATGATAAACCGTTCTTACTTGTGCTGTCTCCTATCCATGCTGGGGGTCTCAGCTCAAATTCTCGGACAATAGCATGCACCACTCTACCAAGGTCTGAATGTTGGGTGAACTGAAAAGTCGGGTAAAGGCAAGCTTTGAAATGTGTCGAAACTTAAACATTTACACACTAATAAATGGAGGCTTACATTTACAAGTCCAGGAGCAGCAGTGATTCGCCCACAATGGTCCACCCATGAGTGACCTACATTGGGAGAAACTAATAGAACAGGTTTTTCTAAAGGAAAATCTGGACCAAGCTGCACCAAAATAGCCATACGACGACTTTCAGCCCAAAATTCAACCCTGTATTCGACTCCTGGTTGTAACTCCTGAACACTGCACAAAAAAGATGAACAAAATTTGAAGCGCTATTAGTTGTAGGCAATTTGATAGTCCATTCATGACGAAGATGCAGCAAGGTAATTGTCTTCATGTGACATACTACATAAAACGTAAATAAACACTCATAACCTAACTGATGTAACAAAAATACTTACTTATCGTTAAAAATCTTCAGTGTATCTATTTGCCGCTTGCGCTTAAGCTTAAAATCTTCGGAATCTTGGAACATGTCGGTATTTTTGTTGTTACAAATTAAAAATTCAATGTGAGGAACAGCATTGTTGATCGTCCCATGACAGCTGCTAAAACTAGAACTAGAACAATAGACAACTTGAGCTAGGCGAAAGAAGAGGAAGAAAATACCTTCCCGAACATGGCGGACGCAGGAGAATTATAAATGCCTTCGGCTCGGGAACGGACGCTGGGCCTGGCGTTCTGACCATGGTCGGTAGGAATTTGGAAAAACGAAAATACTCAGAATTAAAGGACATGTAAGCAAACATATATATTGAGGCGCACTCAGTAAGACATTTTTGAGTAAATCGAACCCCTTTTATCACGGATTAGCCGGTTTTAAACCTTAAAATGACAAAAAAGGAAGCAGCGGCGGGGGTCGACTGCAGTGTCTGGCGAAGATCCGCGTCGGGCGCTATCTGCAGGGCCGCTTTGTGGGCTCATTTGCAGCCTTGTTAAGCTCTAGAGGGGCAAAAGTTTGGGCTTGGATTAAAGCCAGAGGCTTGAACTGCGACCACGTGCATTTATTTTAAAACATTAGGGTAGAAATTATTTGCATTCTCCTTACAAAGTCGGACTTCTTTAAGCCGTTAGCAGGCGGTGACTTCGAATCACCGACCATGGTCAGAAAGGTGTTGTGACGACTTTGTAAGGAGAGTGCAAATATTTTCTACCCTAATGTTTTAAAATAAATCCACATGGGCATAGTTCAAGCCTCTAGCTTTAATCCAAGCCCAAGTTTTTGCCTCTCTAGAGCTTAACAAGGCTGAAAATAAGCCCACAAAGCGGCCCTGCATTTAGAGCCCACCTCGGGCCTCTACTCCCCCTCGCCTGGCGGACGGCCGCCGTCGGCTGCTAGGACCAATGAGGGGCCGGCCGCCATGTTCGGGAAGGTGTTTTCTTCCTCTTCTTTCCCCTAGCTCAAGTCGTCTATAGAAAGTCCTTTAGGCGTATGCGACTTAGTTATTTCTCATATGACCAAACGATCCACAGCCTTGTAGCTTGTAGCTTCAAATTTCACCGGTCAACGCCTTTGACGAAAAACAAAAGAAAACTACCTCTTTCATTTAGCTAGGTGACTAACCTTCGAGTTGACTTGTCTATTTTTGTGTTTACACACAAGACATTTCAAACAACCTAGTATCTTTCTGCAAGTTTTTGTTTCCCTCAAAGTTCAAGTGGCAACCTGTTCAGGAAATGAGCTCCAGTGTGATGCTTTTCGCCTGCTCAAGGTGTTTTTCAAGACACCCATTTGAAGAGCTGTCTCCAGGACAGCAGTTATGCAAGGCAAGTATTTTCAGTTTACATTAGTTTAAAATTTTTCCAGTGATGGTTTCTATAGGATTTTCTTTGAAGTGTCTTTTCAAGCTTGGCCTTAATCGAGCTTTATTTGCCTATGTCATGTTGGCTCCATTTTATGGGTAGAAGGCCTAACCTGTAGTAGTACAGTGGACTACTTAATTATAGCTCTTTGTAATCTTTGTTGTCATTCAGGAATGTAGAGGCTCTTTCCCCGTTGTGAAATGCACATTTTGCCGCTCGGAGTTCCAGCAAACAAGGTAACCAAAAAAGTTTGCAATATTTTATTTCCTTTGACTTCTGTTCACCTATAGCTGCTCTCACCGCAACTACCTATCTTTCTATTACTTATTGCAGTAAAGGAAGCACTAGTACAATTTGCAAGAAATGTGAGCAAAATGTAAAGCTGTATCGCAAGCCTACAGCTTGTGAATATTGCAACATCATAGCTGCTTTTATTGGAAACAAGTGCCAGCGATGCACTAATTCTGAAAAGCGATATGGACCTCCGGTTACGTGTGAACAGTGCAAACAGAAGTGTGCATTTGACCGCAAAGATGAAGATAAGAAGGTGATGATATTGAATCTCTCTGAAAATTGTCAATTTAGTATATCTATCTTCTGACAAAACTTAATATAATTTTGATACCATGGTTTGCAGGTTGATGGGAAGTTGTTGTGTTGGTTGTGCACTTTATCATATAAACGAGCATTAGCTAAAACTAAACAAAGTGTTCAGGATAGAAGAGAGCACCAACGTTTAACTCGGGAACGTGAGCGAGATGCAAAAAGGAGGGAGCAAGCCGGCAGGTAAGCTCAGATATCCCCCTGTTCACTCTACATCCATAGTATTACTTAAATCATGTTTTTTCTTTTTACTTAAGATAATTTCATGTAATAAATTTAAGAGTACCTAAAGACTCAAGCATTTGTAGTATGAAGTCTTATCATACATATTTTTGGTTTGTAATTTTTCCTAGGCCTAGAAGTCACAACAAACGACCCCAACGAGCTGATGTTACTAAGCTTCCTGCACCAACAGCTGAGAGCAAAGAAGTTGTGGATGGACCACCACCCAAAGTTCCCCGTCCAGCAGTTTCCCGTGTTGATCCCCATGATCCAGAGCATGTTGTTGCTATGACGCAACTAAAGGAGAAGATAGTTTCTCTCAACAAACAGATGGTTATCAAAGATCAGCAGCTTCTGTCTAAAGACAAAATGGTCTGTTTTCTTCTTCCCTTTGGTACTTGAACATTTCTCTGAGGTGAAATGTGGAACTCACTTTTTGTCTACACCCTTTTGCAGATTACTGAGCTCAAAGCTAAGCACTTCACAGTGGAGAATGAACTACGGAATCGAATGCTTGCTAGTGAACGCGAGTTTAAGACAAAATCTGAAATGATGTCAGGTAAAATTAAAAATTTGCAGAAAGAAGTTGCAACTTTGTCAAAGATGAAAAACACTCCTAAATCAGATAAGAAGAGGATTGTTGAAATCAAGCACAAAGAGCGAATTTGTACAGTTGATCATAAAGAATATTTGAGACAAAAGTTGAAAAAGGCCGAAAAGAATGATAGTGACCAAAAAGATACCGATAATGAAGATAAAGAGGACAAGAAATCACGCAACACTATCAGTGATGATGATGATGATGACTCCAAAGATGCCTCATTCACCAATAAGACTCCTAAGGAGGAAAAGACTGAGAATAATGATAATCAGAGAAATGGAGATAAGGTGGAGGAAAATGGAGAGAAACAAACTAATGACAGTACAGTGAGTTCTCAAATGGAAACTTCAGGAATAGAGAGGAATGGTAATAATGATAAAAGCACAGGCAGCAACTTCGACGAATCCAGCAAAGACTTTGAGAAGAAGGACAATGAAGGAAGCAAAGATTCTGATGATGAGTCTATCAAGAAAGAGCGCTTTTCTGACAAAGGTTCTGCAAAGGGTGAATCAGACAAAGAATCAGATAGTGAGTCTGTGAAGAAGGAACGTAGCTCAGACAAGGAATCTGTCAAAGGAGATTCAGAGAAAGAATCAACTAAAGGAGACTCTGATAAAGATGATTCTGATAAGGAATCTGATGATGAATCAACTAGAAAAAATAATAGCTCAGATGATGAAGCTCCAAAAAAGCGGCGCCACAGCTCTGATGAAGAATCAAATAGGAAAGGTAGTGACAGTTCAGACGATGAACGGACCAAAAAACATCACAGCTCAGATGAAGAGTATTCGAAGAAACGCAAGCAGCTGAAGAAGAAAAAGAAGTTCAGGCGCGATTCTGATCGCGATTCCGACAAGGAATCTGACAAAGATTCACGCAAATCAGACAAAGATTCTGATAGAGATTCTGACAAAGATTCAGATAAAGATTCTGACAAGGAATCAAATAAAGAAAGTGACAGTGACAGTGATGCGTAACAATTATGCAACAAAGTCAATGGGCAAAGAGCCCATTCTTGCTGCTCTCATAGTATTGAGCATGAGCACATTGAAATCTAAATTACTTGTAAATATCTGCCACTTTTGAAAATAACTTATTGGTGTTTGTAATGTTATCAGGAGGAAAAAGTTTTATTTACTTAATCATTCATCGACATTCAATTATAAAATTCTGTATTTTTTGTTTCATATTTATTCTATGTTCTTGTTTTCCCCTGGAAGCTGCATGCATGACCTAGTGGAGTTGAAAGGTATGAATTCAATTCAGTTCTAGTATGATATGATATTTCTCCATCGGTCTCTGTAAAATTTGTTTCTAAAACTAATTTTCAGACTTAAGATTTTGAGCAAAGTTTTGTTCAATATTATACAGTATTATGTGATATTTCTATGTTAAGAGGAATGTGTATGACTTTGTTAAAATGTATATTTTTGTGAAACCGAAATTTGAAAAGCAGTGTGTAAGTTATTCCGTTTAAAAAAAATGAATTGTGTAAATTGAAGAAACTAGGAAGGTGGGTTATTGTGCACTATTTAAGGACACTTTTAGGTAGGATTATTTATCCATTGCAAGATGAAGACTTCAGATGGCTGTGCTTATGTGCACATGTTACAGTGTTTTCTTAGGAAATTTCTTTTAGTACCTTGTCAAAGTTGTTAGTAGATGTACTTATTCTAATGAATTTTCAAACTGATTTTCTTTAGATATGTCATGAAATTTATATCTTATTTCAAATTTATGTATCAGTCTTAATGTTGCTTTAATTATCAGTCTTCTGAATCAAGTTCATGCCGAACATGTAAAATCATGCGTTTCATACTGACACATCATCAAACTTGCTTCTATCAAGAAGATAGTTTGCTAGTTGTTTGTTGTCATTATACTGTTATCATGAAAACTCAGGCTTGCATGTCGAACTTTTTATGTCCTCAGGAAATATTTGATGAACATGAAATGGTGTTAGTTAGTTTAATTTATTTATCTTAAGAGGTTGTCTCTAGGCATGAATCATATTTTTAACTTTTGTTAAAATTTATTTTTATTACTTCCATATTGTGTTATGTAGAATGATGTTTGAAACTCATTTAAAATTATGGAACAAACTATGGAGCAGTCAGACACATCATAATTTTTTGTGCAATTATTAATTTAAATTACAGCCTCTGAACTTTCTTTTCTTGTATATTCTTACAATTTTGGTATCATTGGCGTAGTGTTTGCTCATTTTAAATAAATAACATACTTTACAGTAGTAAAAAATTGTATCTAAAAAAAAAACAAAAAATAGAAAATTGTAAACACTATGAAAAAGGCTTAGAGTAGGCTGTAGTTTGTTTGTTTGGTTACCACACAAAACCAGAAGCTTTCTTTAAGCTTTCTCCTATGAACTACTGACAATTTATAATCATATTGGGCTATTTATTTTTGTAATGCTTGTCAAATTTTCTCTGCCCTGTAAAATGCAATGTTACACTTTATACATTTACGACTAGATATCGAAACTACCTCGTAATCCTGTAAACATTTATGAAAGCAATTATCTGTTTTTCTATTGTGAGCAAACTTTGAAATAAAGTGTACTAAAGTGTACTGCCTGAATTTCTGTTTTCTTTTTCCTCTTTGAACGTTTTGATATTTGATCGCTCAGAAGGGAAGCAGTGGGGAAAAAGGAACCATTACCAGACAACTAGTAAACAAATTGGGCTCCTCGTCACTTCCTCTACACCGTAGGGAAGCCTCCTGCACTCGGATTTCTTTTTGATAAACACAGATTCACCAGTCTCAGTTCCCTGGGTAGGAGGTCGATCCACGCCTCTGGTCGCGACCCTTGTGGCCCTTGGGCCTTGAGCTCTACCGGAAGAAGTGTCAGATAGACAGGCAGTGTATCCCACTAGGAGAGCGTGTAGAAAGGCACAGGAAATGGGTCTCGAACGCCGGTCTTCGAGTTCGCGGGACGACGCGTCTTGGCTTGGCATGCGTCCGGTAGCTTCCAATAACACCGCCTTATTCCTGTGGGAGGCTCTCGTCTCGAAGCAGGCCGGCCTCAAATTGGTTGCGATCATTATTCCGCGATTCGCACCTCACCTACCCCTTCTTTCCGCCTTTCGTCACGTCACCCCCACCCCACCGCCGGAGCCGGCCCATGCCGTCTCGCGGACGTCCCGGGGTGGTACGACCCTGGAGGCGCGCGGCCCGGCTCGGCTCGCGTCGGCTTGGCTCGGCCGTGCTCGGCCCGGCGCGCTCCGCTCGCACCACCATGTTTGCAGTCGGCAGGCAATAGGGGCAGAGCGCCCCCCTGCAGTCGCTGCAGTTCTCTACGGGCCCCGCCACCAGGCCCACCAGGCCCACCAGGCCCTCCAGGCCACTCGGCCCCACCTGTGACCCCTCACATGGCCAGCGCCCACCCCAGGTACCGGAACCCGAAGGCAGGACGCACTTTGCTCATAATTTGGTAGACAGCAGAAGGTTCTTGTTGTTGATTTGTTGCGGGTGCATGGTGAGACATTTGATTCGCAACAGCGCCAGCTAAATTATTGCACAACTTGCACAACTCGACCTTGCCCTCCTCGTGAAGGTGATGTGAGATGGGAGACGGGTTGGCAGCTTGTCGTTCAAACTGCGCCAGTGCAGTGCCCCGTGCGAGGCAAGAAATACACTTCGCTTACCATCGGCCGGGCGGCGGGCTTGGGCTTCGGGGAGGTTCGGTCCTCCATGTCCAGTTGGTGGCGGCTGCGGCTGCGGCTGCGGCGGCCCGTTCCGGTGGAGCTGGCAGAGCGCCTGACGGACGACGGTAGGCCGGCCGCACCACGGCGGCGTGCGACGCGCGGCCCGCCGCCGCATGACAGGCGCTATCGGCGCGCGGCAGCCTGCCTGCCTGCCTGCCTGCCTGCCTTGCCTGCCGCTGTCGTCGACGCTCTGTCCCTCTCGCACCTCGATGGGTCACGGAACGCACAGCGAGTGCGAGAGAGACAGAGTGCCTCCATGTCGTGCAACCCGTGGTCCCTGTCCGCAGGCGACGCCATGGACGACCGCACGGTGGACCTCATCTTCGCGGGCTCGCTGCAGAGCCTGCCACCGGTCAGCTCCAAGATCGTGCGCATCTTCACCAGCTCCACGTTCACAGGTCAGAGTAGAGCGATGCTCGTCCGTTGGTGCGTTCCGTGAATCGGGAAGCTCCACGGCGAGCAGCCGAGTTCGAAAGAGCCGCGGGCAGCGGCAGGCGGCGCGTGACGAAAGCCTGTTTCTGTTTTCCATTTGCCGCCATTGGCAGACACGACGATGGAGCGGAACACCCTGATGGCGCAGTGCTACCCTAGGCTCAAGGACTACTGCAGGGAGAAACACGGCCTGGAGTTCCAGGTGAGCAAGCCGGGCAGCGCTACAACCGAGTCCAAAGCAAATGTCTTACGATGATGAAAGGCTGAAATAACATAGAGCAGCATCTTCACCATGAGAATTTTAGAGTGGGGACGCTTTGTACGCCTTGCCGGGCCCCACGCACCAGGCGGGGCCATTCGGCCGTTCCCTCGCCGAACGTCCTTTGGGCCAGTGCCTGCGACGCCCACGCCATCCACGCTCGCCCACGCCCTCGCCCTCGCCCTCGCCCTGGCCGGGACGCGCCTAGCCAAGTGTGCTGACCAGCACCCCGTCGGCAGGCCGCAGGGCCGTCCCGCCGGCCTCATGTGGCTTTGTCGCCACCGCACTTATGCCCCCTCCCCCTCCCCCTCCCCCCTCCCCCCTTCCCCCTTCCCCCGGCCGTGCGCAAGAGGCAAACCCCTAATGACTGCAGCCGTGGAACTTTGGATAATGCGGCGTCACGAGCGACTAACGACCCGACCAGGCCGTGGGCCAAGCCGTGGCCCGCACCATGGGCACCATGGCGTCCACCGTGTGCCGGCATGCAACCATGGACCGGCGCCTTCTGGATCACGCTGGGAACAAACTTATCGCACTTCGCGATGCATTTGACGCCCCCCCCCCTCCACCTCACCTCCACTGGTTTTAATCAGCCACGCTTGTTTCGCCCATTTCCCCCAGGTGGTGGACATGCGTTGGGGCGTGAGGGACGAGGCCACCGACGATCACATGACCACCGAGCTGTGCATGAGGGAGATCGCCAACTGCCAGCGGCTGTCCATGGGGCCCAACTTCGTGGTGAGTGGGACGCCGCCAACGCCAACCACCGCCAGCGCCGGGGCGACCAGGGGCGGCCAGGGGCGGGCCCCGCCGGCAACTCGTTGCCGTATCCGATCGACGTGCCCGCTGGTTTGCCGTGGCCCGCCAGGTGGAAACCCGGACACGGCCAAGTCGACTCGACTCCACCGCCGGCCGCGCCGCCGCGACGCCACGCTGCCTTCCCCATCTTCCTCTCGTTTCGCGTGGCGCGGTAGAAAGAGGAACAGGAAAGGGACGGATAATGTCTGGTCAATAATTTATTCGGAGCGTCGGTACTTCGCCAACTCGGGGAGATCCGGAAGATCCGCACATGTTCCCAGTACCTGTTCGATCCTGATGGAGGCTACGAAGGCCGAAATGGAGGTTCCGTACCTTTCAAAGTACTCTTTTTTTTTGTTTTCCTTTTCACAGTGTGGCTTGCGGCTTGGCGGCCTGCCCCGCCCGCCGCCTGCCGTGCTGAGCGAGCTTTGATCCGACTCCAAAGCGACGAGCCTCTCTGCGCGAATTCGATTAGAAAACTTCCGGCGAATCGGCTGAGCTGCCGAAGCTGCCGCGGTGGCGGCGCGCTCCGCCCCCCTCTCCTCCCCCTTTTTTCGGTGTGCAGAGCGGAGTGCTTCTTGCCTCCCTCAAATGTATCGCGCGGCGTTAAGATGGGACGCCGAGACGGCGCCGGTACAGAGAGAGAGAGAGAGAACGATTCTTTTTGATGGGGAGGGAGTTGCGAACAACAACATCAACAGGATGGGAGGGTGGACGCCGCCAGGACGCCGCCAGGACGCACACAGCGAGAAGTGAAGCTCTTGTCGACAAAATACGCGCTCCATTTGAAACGCCCTGAATCGCCCTCTATGCACAGCGCAGCTCGAAAACAAAGAGTGGATTTTTTTCGCGTTTTCGGAACTTGTGTGATTTCCCTAAAGTTTTGCAACCACCAGGCCGGAGATGTCCGAGTCCGAAGAGGCGCCTGTCGCTGTCGTGCGCTCGGAACTTATTGACTCATTCCCCGTCCGCGCGCGCGTGTGTGTGCGTGTGCCGTAGTCGGCGCGGTCCGTGCGTGCGCGCGATCGTGCGCCAAAAACGAGCGTGTCCGTTCTCGCTCCGTCCTTGTCGCGCCCCGAGCCAAGCCCCGAGCGGCCCCGCGACAGGTAGCGTCCCCCGCGGCACGCGCGGCGCACGGCGCACGCGCACGGCGCACGCGCACGCCACGGCTGAGATTGATTGCGATGCGGTAGTGAGGCCCGCGATGTTCTCGGCCCACGCGGAGTGCACGGTGTGGCGCGCGGAGTGGCGCGCCCAGACGACGGCCTACAGGGGCTCCGACCACACCGCCAAAAGCGACTCCCGTGGAACAATGTTCAAACATTCAAAGAAAAAAAAACTGAAGGTGTTAAGTATGTTTTGGTTTGAAATTTGGTGTCTTCCCGGCCTGCTCTGCAGGTGTTCCTGGGCCAGAAGTACGGCTACCGGCCCATCCCGACGTACATCGTGTCCTCGGAGCTGCAGATGCTGCGCGACGAGCTGGCCTCCACCGGGACGGACGTGGTGCTGCTCGACACGTGGTACCGCAAGGACAGCAACGCCGTGCCGCCCGTGTCCGTGCTGCAGCCCATCTCCTCCATCCTCATCAACTTCAATAACAAGGTTAAGAGGTGTTGAGGGCGGCGGCCGGCGGAGGCGCCGCCTTGGATGCGCGCTCGTTCCCCCCACAAAATTTGATCCTTCAAAATTCGTCAGAATATACGTCGGCACCGTTTAAATCACGTTGAAACAAAAAAAAAAATCCCGACGTGAAAAATCCCTCAATGAAAAGGTTTGGTTTTTGTGGACGACCCCGTCTATCTGCGCGTCGTTTCCGACGAATGCTCTCTTTCCCAAATAATTACCGACGAAAATGTCGCCAATTGCCGGCAATGCGGGGGACGCTGCCCGGCCCCGCACCGCCGCGGCGGCGTATTGAAAACATTTTAATCATCACGCCACTGCCATTCCTGGTGCCTGCCCCGTCTGCCCCGCCTGCCCCGCCTGCCCGGTCTGCCCCGTCTGCCCCGCCTGCCGGTCTTTGGCGACTAGACCGCCCAGCCCGGCCCGTCCCGCGTCCCGCCTCTTCCGGCCTGTCCTCTGCCGAGTCCCGAGTCCGGCCCAGTCCCACGGGCCGCCCCTTTGCGCTCGCAGCGCCCTCTCTATTTAAAAAAAAATGAAAACACCGAGCTTTTCATCCCCCCTCCCCCCTTCCCGGACTTATTCTCCCCGCTCCCCTTTTGGTCGGACCGCGTCGACTCTTTTTTGGTACGAAATGATCTTTTGTCCATCGAGAACCCTCTCCTCTCTGATCCGCGCGCGTCTCTCTGGCCGCCGCTCCAGCCCCCCCCCCCTTTCCACCCCGCGCCGCCCCGCTCTTCATTTCTAGCTGGAGATGAATTGCTGGCTCCAAAACTCGCCTGGTTTGAGGGAATAAGCAAGCCGTGCTGGCGTGGCGTGGCGCGGTGGTGGCGCGGCGCGGCTGCGCGCAGCGTGGTGCGGATCGAAGATTCTCTCTCATTTTCTACTCTGGCGGGCGGGGCGGGGCGGGGCGGGGCGGGGCGGGGCGGGGCGGGGCGGGGCGGGGTGGGTGCGGGCTGCGCCCCTTGAAATTGACGTGCAGCCCCGCCGGCCCCGCCGGCCCCGCCGAGCGGCGCACCGGCCAGCCGGTGAAAATTGACCAACTTTACGGCACGGCGCTGCGCTGGGCCGCGCCGCGCGGTTAGGGCCGGAAAGGGAACGGAGTCCTTGACGGAGTCTGAGGGAACGATTTGGCGTCCTGTCCGCAGCGCATCCCCAAGCTGCAGCAGCACGACCAGGCCGTCTGGTGGGACACGCTGGGCAAGATGCAGAAGCTGCTGCGCAAGGCCGCCGCCACACTGTACGCGGCCGGCAAGATCGACAAGGACATCATGCACAACTACTTCATGTCCGTGACGGAGCGCGAGGTCATCAACGGCATCCTCAGCGTCAAGAACACCAAGAACCACTGCCTGGCGTACGTGCGCTACATCAACAACATCAACCTGCAGAACCTGAAGAAGGCCTCGCTCTTCCTCGACGTGCTGAACCGCTCCCTGGACACCGAGGCCTCCAAGCTGATGAGCAACCTGCGCGACGAGAGGCTCACGTCCAAGATCGAGGCCAGCAACTACCAGAGGTAGTCCACCACCCACGGAGCTTTAAACGTAGTGGGCGCTAAGCGGCCGGAAAATGAGTAGAAATCACGCGAGCGAACGAGCGACGCGAACGAGAGGGGAAAAGGCGGGAAAAGGCTTTTAATTTGCTGAAACTACCACGATCTTTCCATTCAGGCCGCGCTGTGCCCGGCTGTGCCGCACGGCAGCCAATGAGGTGGTGTGGGGCAGTGGGCCTTATCGTGGGTGTGTTAACGATGGGGGAGGTTCGGCTCGCCCCGTTTCGTGGGAGGGGTGAAAACTGTCCCAAATTACCGTTACGAAATTAATGGACGGTCCCTCGGCTCGGCGCCTCGGCGCGCAGGTACACAGTGGAGTGGATCGGGCGCGAGGGCCTGGACACGGAGACGCACGAGGACTACCTGCAGCACTTCATCACGCACTTCTACCGCAACATCACCAAGCTGGTGGACCGCGCCATGCGCAAGGAGGACTCGAGCGCCCAGGGCCAGATCGTCACGGAGATCCTGCAGCACCTGCATGCCTGCAACAACGCAGTCAAGGTTGGAGGTTCAATTCCCTGCCAAGGAATTTTTTTTTGTGTTCCAAATCTATTTTTCTCTACCCTTATGAATGCACTTTGAAAACCGCGACGAGCTCCTCCGGCCTCTGACCGCAAGCGTGCCCTCGCAGGTGTTCTACGGGCGCGAGCAGGAGCTGGACCGGATCCAGCGCTACGTGCTGGGCGAGTCGGACAAGCCGCTGGTGCTGTACGGCGAGGGCGGCTGCGGCAAGACCTCCCTGCTGGCCATGTCGGCCGGCAACACCTCGTCGGGCTGGTTCCCCGGCGCGCGCCCGCTCAGCGTCATCCGCTTCCTCGGCACCACGCCCGACTCGAGCGCGCTCACGCCCACGCTCATCTCCATCTGCCAGCAGATCTCGTACAACTTCATGCTGCCCTACGAGGACATCCCCGACGACCTGGTGCCGCTCACGGCCCACTTCAAGCATCTGCTGACGTGCGCCTCCAAGGAGCAGCCCCTCATCGTGTTCCTGGACTCGGTGGACCAGCTGACGGGCGCGCAGGACGCCAACAAGGTCTCCTGGCTGCCCACGCGCCTGCCGCCCAACTGCAAGGTCGTTGTCGAGCTGTCGAGTGAGTCCTGGACTTGCTGGCGTTGCCAAACTAACCGCCCTCTCCGCAGCTGATCGTGTCCTGCGCCGCGGAGGCCGACAACGCCGAGGTGTCGCGCGAGTACCACCTGCTGCGTCGCATGCTGGACGTCGAGGAGCAGTTCATCGAGGTGACGGCGCTCGGCGAGGACCTCGCCATGCAGGTCATCAAGTGGGTACTGCCAGCAAACCGAATCAAACAAAAACAAAAAGGGTCGAAACCAGAGCGGCTTTGGCGTGCAGGATGTGGATGCGGACGGCGTGCCGCGACCTCACCAACTACCAGTGGCGGCTCGTCTCCAACGCCATCAGCTCGTGCTCGCTGCCCATCTTCGTGAAGCTCGTCTTCGCCGAGATCTGCCGGTGGCGGTCCTACACCAAGCCGCAGGACACGCACCTCGCCGCCACCGTCATGGACTCCATCATGATGCTGTTCGAGAGGATCGAGAAGCAGGTCAGTGAGACGTCACAGTGCAGTGGCAGTCCGCGAGCAGCCCGGCTGAATCGTCGCTCACTGCCCCGCAGCACGGCCGCATCCTGGTGTTCCACGCGCTGGCCTACATCACTGCGGCCAAGAGCGGGCTGTCCGAGTCGGAGCTGGAGGACCTCATCTCGCTGGACGACCGCGTGCTGGACGACGTGTACCAGTACCATATGCCGCCCGTGCGCCGCATCCCGCCGCTGCTGTGGACGCGCATCCGGAACGACCTGCCCAACTACCTGAGCGAACGCGAGGCCGACGGCGTCAGCGTCATGAACTGGTACCACAGGTAGGCGCCGCAGCGTTTATGAACTGGTATACCACAGGTTGGCGTCGAGGGGCGGCCGCAGACACTGCCAAGTCCCTGATACCTGTGCAGGCAGTTCCGAGACACGGCCAAGGAGCGCTACTTCAAGAACATGAACATGGCCATGTACTTCCACTCATCCATCGCTGACTACTACCTCGGCATCTGGGGCGGCGGCAACCCCAAGCCGTTCAAGTACACGGAGATCCAGAGGCACAGGTTGGTCGCCGTGCCGTCGTGTTGTTTTCGAGTTGCCAAACCGGGCGCTGACTTTGGCGCTTGCGGTCCAATTTGCAGGTTCAACCTGACGGACAAGGAGGGCTCCGCCGACCGGAAGGTGCCCGTGCAGCCGCTCGTGTTCTACACCAAGGACGGCAAAGTGTCGCGGTACAACTTGCGCAAGGCGAGTCCATGACACACTTCTTGGGGAGCTCCGCGTCCCGCCTCGCGGTCCGCGCGGCTGACGTGAACCGACCGCCTAACCCTCGCCAACCGGCGTCACTCCTCCGGACAGCTTATGGAACGCGGGCTGGTTGTCAGTCAAGTAGCTGGGGAAGCCAGCCCCCGCCCCCTGCCAACCCGGCCCTGCTTCACGCTCCGCACCGCGCCAAAACTTTTATCATTTTGTGCGCAGTTCGGCGAGATGCCGTACCACATGGTCCGCGCGCGCCGGTTCAAGGACCTCTACGAGCACGTCCTCTTCAACTACGAGTGGCTGCACGCCAAGCTGTCGTCGTGCCCGCTGCAGGCCGTGCTGTCCGACTTCGAGGACGCCTGCAACAACATCGACGACCGCGACGCCACCAGGTGAGGCGGCAATCCGACAATTCCATTTTCCATTTCCGTTGAACAAGTTTTGTGAGAGTCCGAGGACACGTGGCTTCTCTTCTCTCCTTTTCTTTCCCGGCGCTTGGCGCTGAAGATTGGGGTCCACCGCACGGTGGCCGTATGCGTGTGTGTGCGTGTGCGCGTGTGTGTGCGTGATTGGGGAGGTGCGCGGAAATCCGGGGCGGTCGGGACGGCCCGCTGTCTCCCCAGAGATGCCCCGAAGGAACGGAAAAGGGTCTGTCGGGGAATTTAACGGATACGGTCACTTTGCGGCGGCCGCGTCTCGCCTGGCAGGCTGGCAGGGTCTCGGCGGACGTCCACATCTACATGTGTGGGTGTTTGTGTGTGCGTGTGAGGGGGAGGGGGAGTGGGATGTGGGTGACAGACTTGGTTTTGTGGAGCTAAGCTTCGCCTCAACTCGAAACAAGTCAAATTGAGTGATTGCCTGATGTGTGTTTGCTAGGGAACAGGCGCACAAGCAGCAGCGGTGAGTAGCTTTCCGGATTGCCACACAGCAGCGTATGTGCTACTCCTTTTCTGTCTCGGACCGTCGAGCATAAATCTTCTATACCTTCTTTCCTTCTGACACTATGTAATGTTTTCTTCTTTTCACGTAACTTTTGAATTGTGTATATATTGCCTCTTCTACGTCTTTCAGCTTTGTTGTCTGTTACCGTTACTAATATTCCTTCCTGCACTGTATTTTGTTAATCATCGTCTTACTTTACAGCCCACTTGTAATAACAGTGTTTCGCAGAGAAACTGTATACTTTGTCCTTGTACTGTCTTATGCTACTTTGTTCATGTACATTTCATCGTTTCCTTTCACTTACTTACCTATCTACTGGCAGTAGTTGTCCATTTTGTCAATTTCTATGTATTTTTGTTTTGTTTTTACATTTCTCTTCTTCTTTTTCTCAAGTACTTTTGTCGCATCGTATTATTTCAACTCTCTACACACATTCAAAACATGTATCCATCCACACACTCTCACTATACTATTGCCGTAGCACGAGTAGCGGAGAACTCCCTCCAAATGCACTGTACTGAATCAGAAGGGGTGTCAGGGTGGGATGGGCTCTGGAAAGAGGTAAAGCGCGCCATGCCCCAAAAGCAAGGTTTAACGAGTACTTTCTCACATGCCGAGGCATATAAACTTTTCGGTATTCGGAAGGGGGCCCGCACCACCTCGCATTCAGAGCCGCCCCGGTGGAAGGCCCTGGACGCCACCGCCGCACTTGGAGGGAGTTCTCCGCGCTCGCCGAACGCCGAATGCACCCTGGCCGCCGCCGCCGCGCTGCCGCTGCTGACCCACTTGCCCGTCCGTTCCCCAGGGAGCTCCACCTCGTGGCCGACGCCCTGCGCCTGGGCGGCGCCATCCTCAGCGTCTACCCGGACATGCTGGCGCCGCAGCTGGTGGGGCGCCTGCTGCCGGAGATCGGCGTCAACCCCAACGTCAAGATGCTGCTCAAGGACTGCGACGAGAAGGGGCCCGCGCACTGCGCGCTGCTGCCGCTGTACCACTGCCTGCACACGCCCGGCGGCCCGCTCAAGGTGCGCGCAGCAACAACAACGCCCACGCCCTTGTTGTTGTTTTGTTGGCGTGTAATGAGCGCGGCCACGTTACTGCGCAGTACTCCCTGGAGGGACACCAGTTCGCCGTGTTCGCGTTCTGCCTGACGGCCGACCTGCGCTACATCGTGTCCATCTCGAACCGCTTCATCACGTGGGACTTGTCCACCAGCGACATGACACGCGACGTCAACCCGGGGCTGGAGGGCATCATGCAGCAGCTGGTGCTGAGCCCGGACAACCGGTACGCCGCCGCCTACACCAACAACAACCAGGTGAACAAACAACAACGAAACGTCCGAGTCGTAAGCGCGGTCCGGTACGAGCTCGCCCTCGTCTGTTCCAGTCGGTGCTGCTCAACATGCTGACGAGCGAGTTCTTCCTGCTGGAGAACGCGCTGCGCGACGAGGAGGCGGTTGTGGGCGTCTTCCTGCTCAACACCAACGTGCTGGTGTACGGCGCGGGGTCGTGGTGCCGCTTCGACATGCGCGGCGGCTTCCAGGAGAAAGGCAACACCCCAGAGGACCCCAAGACGCGGCCGCTCCTGCTGCTGGACATGACGTCCCTGGAGGACTACCGCCAGGTCTACTGGAGCGGCTCCCTGGACGACCCGGCCATGCGGCTGCGCACCAAGCTGCCCACCGGGGAGCTGGAGCCGCTGGACTTCCACAGGTTTGCACCAGAGCCGCAGTCGCAGCGCGCCACGCGGAGGCGGAGTGGAGAATAACAATGCCCGCCTCTGTCTGCAGCGCCATGGTGCTGACGGCCGACAAGAAGATCCTCTACTGCTGCACGGAGGATGGCGTGGCCGCCGTCACCAAGTACAACCTGAACGTGGAGGCGGGCAAGTGGGAGTTCGACCGCCGCCTGCCTTCGGCCCGTGAGTACAGTGTCGCGGTGCCAGTCACGAACCGGGCGAGCAAACGGTTTACCAAGTCTCTGTCTTCTGGTTTGCAGCGGCGGACGAGCGCGAGAGCCTGCTGCAGCTCAAGGTGGCCCCGGCGCACGCGGCCCTGCTGGGCACCACCAGCAACGGCTTCGTCGTGTGGGACTTGTCCAGGGACATGGTGGCAGAGCAGGACCCCATGGCGGACCCGCTGGCCGCCGACGAGGAGGAGGACGAGGAGGAAGAGGTGGCCGAGGCCGCGGAGGGCGACCAGGAGGGCGAGGCCCCGGAGGTCATCCCGAAGAAGCGCTCGCGCCCCGGGCTGCCCAAGGACTCGGCCATCATGTTGTGGCTGCCGCACGGCACCAGGAACATTTCCACGAGGTACGGAAAGGGATTAAAACCGTCGGAGCAGCCAAAACTATCCAATTCAAAACTGACGCGTTCTCCAGGATGCTGACTTCCAACTCCATCATGATCTCGGCGTCGAGGGACTACGCCGTGGCCGGCGTGCGCAAAAGCCTCTACGTGTGGAGCCTGCGCGACGGGCGCCTGCTCAAGATCCTGGACGCGCACTTCGGCCGCATCATCCAGCTGGAGCCGCTGACGGTGGGCTCGTGGAACTCGGTCGTCACCTCCTCCATCGACCGCACCGTCAAGGTGTGGAACATCAACAACATCTTCGAGCAGGTGCACGTCATCGACCGCCACGAGCTGCAGATCGACTCCATCTGGTACGTCGCCTGCACGGTGCAGACCTCGGTCCTTCGACTGTCATTTGCGTGACCTGCTTGTCGGGCTTGTCGCTTGCAGCGTGTGCGGCGCCGCGGGGGTGGCGGTGACGGTGACGCGGGGCTGCGTGGGCGTCTGGGACCTGCGCGTCGGCAAGCTGCTGACGAGGCTAGCCGACTCGCCGCTCGGCGCCATCGTGACGCACGCCGTCATCACTCAGGACGGTCGCTTCATCGTGTCGGCCGAGTCCGGCAACATCCTGGTGTGGAACCGGCTGACGGAGCAGGTGCTCTTCAAGGAGGAGCAGCAGGGCGTCCGCCAGCTCGACCTGCTCGAGGACGGCACCCGCTTCCTGGCGGTGTCCAGGCCCAGCCCCGCCAACGCCGCGCCCAACGCGGAGCCGTCCAAGGCCACCGCCACGGCCACGGCGCGCGCGCTGCCGAGTGAGTGCTTCAGCTTGGCGCCGGACCCACGGCCAGCAGTTGCACCTCGTGGCTGCGTCCTCGTCAATACCCCACGCACGGAAATTGTCCATTAGGTTTGCCTGTCGCGGAGTAGTGACGACGGGTCAATCAGTCTTTCACGTGTGACAGTGCCGCATTAGTGGCTCTCGGGGGCGGAAAGGAAAGGCAGCCGGGAAGCCGGAGCGCTTGGCGGGTTGGCCGGGTTGCCTGCCGCCAGGGCGTGGCCTCCGCGCCCCGCCATCCACGACGGCTTCCTGGCGGGCCGGGCTGCGCCAGTGGGCCAGGCCGCGTGCCGCACGCCGTTTCGGGGCCGAGATTCTCGCCACGTCCTTACAGTGCCGAGGAAATGGAGACCCGGCGTCTGCAGCCAGGCGGGCGGCCAGGACCAGGCAGGCAGCCGGGCTTCGGCGGTACCACTTTATTCCCCGAGGACGGCCAAGAAACGGTTGCCTGCGCTTCGCCGCTTGGCCGCTTCGCCGCCGCGCCGCGTTAGACCCGTTAGACCAGCCAGACAAGACTCTTTCTTCTCTCCTTCCTTTCTCTTCCGCCCGGTTCACCTCGCCGCCATCCTTCTCCTCGTCGTGATCCCCTTCGGATGGTACAAGTCGTGCTCCGCCATTAGCTTCGGTCACACTCTTCGACCCCCTGAACCCGCAGGTGGTGGCGCCCCACCCCCGGTCCACCGCCAGCGCCCACCCCCACCCCCGCCCCCGCCCCCGCCTCCGCCGCGCCGGGTCTCGTGGAAAGTACCCCCAGACTGCTGCTGCTGGCCCCGGCGCCCCGGCCCGGAAATCCCCAGCCGGACCACTCCAGTTTTCTCCATTATTTCTTTCCTCCTCTCCCGTCGCTACTTAGCGAGTGGCCTGATGAAGGGCACCGACGCCGTGCCGGGGCGGGGCGGGGCGGGGTGGGGCGGGGCGGGGGTGGATGGGTCCGGTGGTCCGTGGCCAGCAAGGCGGGGCGGGGTGGGGCGGGGCGGGAGGCACTGCCACACTTGGCTGGGCTTCGGGTCTACTCACACGGAAGGGTCCTGCCTGGGGTTGGCCCGGGGTTGGCCCGGGGTTGGCTCGGGACGGGTCGCCGCGGTCGCCTCCCCCCAGTGGCCTATCTGCCGCTCGGCTCGCTCGGCTCGCTCGGCTCGCCTCCAAAGATCGGGAACCGGGCTAGTTTCTGCGTCTGCCCCCATTACCACTCGACCACTCGGGTCTCCGTCAGGGATGCAGCCCCGGCCAGCCAGCCCAGTCCAAACAGCGGCGTCGCACCGCACCGCACCGCGGCGGTCTGCGCGTGTCAGGACAATCCACACCGCACCCGCGGTCCCAACCAGGGCACCGTGAAAGGACTGGCCCGGCGCTACTCTGCTGGAAATCCACCCCAACCCCACGCCCGTCGAAAACAGCCGTGCTGCGAACAACAACTCTGATCTCCGTTAGAAAGGCGGCGTGGCGTGGCGCGGCGGCGGGGGCGCTGACAGCATCCTGCCTGCGAGAGCGGTGTCAGCAACTCAGGAAACACGGCAGGCACGGCGCCGAGAGTGCAGCGTGCGCAGCGCGGCACGACAACCGCACAGCCACACACGTGCGCTGTGCTTCGCTGTGCCTGGTGCTGCCCAGACCACATCCTGGCGGTGGCGCGCTGCGCAGGCTGGCGGCAGGCAGGCGGCAGGCTCTCCGGCACCTCGCCGCCGCACGTCGCCGCCCGCCTAGAGGCCCCGGCGCGCATCTCGCGGGGGAACCAGCGGCTTTTAAGCCACTCCTGCTCCTGGCGCGCCACGCCGTAATCCCGGCGAAGCAGCTTCTCGCCGACGTCTCCTGTCAAATCTCTCCTTTCATTTTATTTTTTGGGAAACTGTTCTCGTGTGGCAGGCGGCGCCCGCGTCTTCTCGTTCGACTGGTCGGTGCGCGTGGCCCCCGGGGCGGCGTGGCGGCCCGCCGTGGTCACGTCCGACGGCCAGCACCTGTGCGTCATCGCCTCGGACAAGGGCTCCCGCGAGGCCGTCGTCGTGTACTCCGCCAAGAACGGGCAGCTGATCCACCGCCTGCCGCTCAAGCCCGTGGGCGTCAAGGTGGGGCCCGCCTGTCGCGCCGCGTCGCCTTCCAGCGAATAAATCATTCACGGCAATAATCCTCGGCTTGCAGGACGTGCTGCAGCTGGTGCCCATGCCCAACAAGGGCCACCTGCTGGCCGTCATGGACCCCGACAAGGGCAGTGTGCTGGACATCCGCACCAAGCGCCTGGTCCGCGCCATCCCCAAGTGGGGCGGCTCCTGCACCCGGGACGGCCGCTTCGGCCTGTGCGCGCCGGCCAGGGGCGGCCTGGAGCTGCTGGAGCTCAAGAAGGGCGCCACCGTGAGGACCTTCATCCCCAAGGTGGCCGAGGGCGTCTTCACCATCATCTGCCTGTTCAACAGGACGGACGAGTACGTGCTGTACTACCACAGCGGCAGGAAGACGCTCAGGGTTTTCAAGTAAGCGTCGCCTGTGTTGTTACCGTTTCCCGATGCTCGCGACTTTGGTGTAAACACTTTCCTGCCGCAGGACGTCGGACGCCAAGATGATCGCCAACTACCGCGTGGCGGCCGAGCTGAGCGCCATCGACTCGACGGACGACGGCTTCTGCATCGTGCTGGGCACGGTGGACGGCTGCGTGTCCGTCATGAGCATCGCCGACCCGGAGAAGCCCGAGATGGTCAGCTTCCTGGCGGGGATGCCGTCGAGGGACGAGCAGGTGGGTGTCGTGGCCGCGAAGACCGATTTTGTTTTCGAACGAGGGTTTGTTTTGACCTTGCTGATGGTGTTGCAGTGGAAGAAGAAGATGCGCAAGCAGCGCGCCAAGAGTCGCTTCCGAGCCGCCGCGGCCATCGCGCGGCTCTGCACGGGCTTCCAGGGCAACGCGGCCGACGAGGAGGCCGAGGACGCGGACGCCGACGCCGAGGCCGCCGAGGACGACGCCGAGGCCAAGGAGCCCGAGGCCGGCACCCCCATGCTGAAGCGGGAGCTCACCCGGGAGATGACTGTGGAGGGGTAGTCAGTTCGTACTGTGCGACTGTGTGTGTGTGTGTGTGTGTGTGTGTTGTACGTGGGGAAAGCCGGGGGAGAAGGGGGTGGGATTTAGTTTTGTACGGCAGAGTCTGTGTGGGAGCGAGCTGGGGGGCGATTAGGGCGTGCGAGTGAGAGAGTGAGTGAGGGAGGGAGATCCCGGGGGAGCTAGTGACTGTGATCTAGTGCTTAGCGGCCTCTGGGAGGCCACAGCTCCCAGGGCTGTACCTCACATCAGGTTATTGCTGTCACGCGGACATATGCGTCGCCGTGCCGAGCTTGTCCTCGCTGTCCAGGCTGCACCCAGTGCAGTGGTCTGCTGAATCTGATCATCGACTCCTTTCGCCATACGTAAAGTGGAGACAGTTGTCCGATCGGCGCCAACAGCAAACAAACCAAGCAAAAAAAAAAAAAAAAAAAAAAATTCCGAAAGCGGAAATTTATATTTCACGGGCTGTGATGAATGTACTGGTATCTAATTGATCGGTATTGTCCTTTTCAAGGTGCTTTGTAGAGGCAGGAAGAATTAGAGATGATACAAGTATATTATACAAAAAATAGAATAGAATATTTATTGTAAAGTATTGTAACAATAAAAATAATCACAAACAAACATCGACTTTTGTTTTTTCATCGATTCCCGACCAAGTACTACAGTAATAACAAGTACACTACACTAAAACTTCAAAATAGATTTACTCGTTTAGGCTGTTGCCCTATTACTTCAAACAGAGATAAAACGATTCCAGAAACGCAAAATGCAAAGCAGTAGTGAGAGTCCTGGTCTGACGAGGCCCTGAGGGACTGCGGTGAATGCTCTTGTGAATGGAGTATCGGGAAATCATTTCCCCACCGACTGCACGCCGGGTGAGGCGCCCTGCAGGAAGGAGGAGGGTGCGGCCTGGCAGAGGCCCAGCGCCCTGGAGCTGCAGGTGGGGCCGGAGGACACCCGGGCCGCCAGCCCGCGCGGCGTGAGGTGCTGCAAGGCGCAGTAGCCGGCCCCCGCGTCGTCCAGGTGGAACCACACGGACGAGGACGCCAGCGACTGAATGGGGCGCCGAAGGCAAACTTTGATGAAAATGAAAGTTGCATCACGCGACAAAGGGTGCGGCGGCCCTCGACTGGGGGGGGGGGGAGAGACTCGCTCGGCATTCGAATGCTCGGGGGTCAACGACAACAAAGTCGGTGCAAACAGGGGCCCACGCTGTAAAACAGGGCGCCTGCTGGGCGCCTTCGGCTGTACGGCTGCGAGTTGGAGCAAACATGGCGGGGCGCCCCGACAGTACTGTACAGTGGGTCAGAAGACCGGTGGAGGCGGTCAAAATCCCGGATGCCTTACAAGCTCCAGAGTCGCTAAATGGGACTCGAACCGAACGTTGGATTGCTCTCTGGTCGAGGAATCCATTGGTGGGGTCACACGATCAGTTCGAGCCCTGTTTCGCGGCTCCGGAGATCAAAACGTAGCTGTACTCACCAGACACGAGCACGTCCTGTCCGAGGCCGGCCGCAGCAAGAAGTACACGTGGTAGGCGGCGCCGTTGACGGGCGACGTGTGGCTCAGCGTCACGTGGCTCGCGTCGGAGGACACCACCTGCAGCAATGGGGACATTTTGGAACAGAGTGTACACTGGCGGGGCAGGGCGGTCGCGCGCGCCGACGGGGGAACGTACCCGGAACGAGGACCTGGGCAGCAGCACGTCCGTCCTACTGGAGTTGAGGATGGCGTCCCGGACGGCCGGGCACGGCGCGTCGTACTGCCTGGGGGCCACGAAGGGGGCGGTCAGGCCGAGGGGGGGGGGGAACAACACTGGCGGCTTTCGGACTGCAGTGTACTCACACCTGGACGGAGCAGGAGGCGGCCATGAGCGCGCCGACGGTGAGGGTGGCCAGGGCGGCGGTGAGGACGAGCGAGCAGCTCGGCACCAGCAGCAGCACCCAGCAGCACTGGCTGCGGCGCTCCCGCTCGCGCCCCGCCTCCGACAGGTCATCGTCGTCCTCCAGCAGGATGGCGCCTCCGGTGGACACTGCAGAAATTCAGGCACAGTTTAGCCAACACCGCCAACACACACGCAGAGCAAAACAAGTGTTGCCAAGATTTTTTCGTCCATGCTGTCTGATTAAACTGCCGTAACGTAAACTTTGGGAAAATTTTCAAATTTCTTTTCGTGATATTCAGAGCAGATGGCGCCATTTCCTTCATTGAAATTGAAACTAGAAAAATCCCCCTCCTAGAGGCAGTGAGCCATCTCCATGCCGAGTGGCAATTACCGACCATGGGCCGCGGATCTCGCCCGCCGCGGATTATCGCAGCTTGGCGCGCTGACGCGGACTGCCGCACTGCCGCCGCGCGGCTCAGATTGCCCGCCTGAGATTACCTGCCGCCCCGTTGCCGCCCCGTTGCCGCCCCGGCGCACCTGTCCGAGCCGAACAGCCGAACGCGCCACAGGTGCGGCCCAGTAATTAGCGGGCCAGCTGCCTCGCTGCACCTGCACCCTCACGTCACTCTGTCTCTCTCGCACCCGTGGGACGCCCGTATGAGTGCGAGAGAGACAGAGCGACGAAAACGACTGTCGGATAATGGGCGCGCTCCGTCTCACGCACGTTCCGCCTCTCTCGACGTTTTATACTTTTCCCCGCGCTGCTTTTTGTGGTCTGGCCCGGGTTTCGGATTTGGCGTTCCGTTGACCTGACTCGACTCACCCATGGGCCGGGCCGCGCGTGTAACAAACAACGACTGAGACCATTTTCCCGTCGCGATGATGAGGGGAGGGGGGGGGGGGCGCTCCGCTCGGCAAACACTGCGCTAACACGAGATAATGGGAATACCGGACACATCGGCCCGGCAGCGCGCCGCGCGCCGACGGTCCAGGGTGCAAGTTCGGCGGCGCGCAGCCTCCGTGCAACGGCTCGGCTCGGTCCGGCTCGGCTCGGCTCGGTCGGGCGTTGCGCGATGTGTCATCGCTGGAGCTCTATCTCCGTTATCGGCAGAACACCACCTCCCCCGGCTCACTCTGGGAAACGCTCGCGCACGATGTGGCGGGGAGGGGAGGGGCGTTCAGGGCCGGGGCACTGTCAATAGCCACAATTACCGCGCCGAGCAGGGCTGTAAAAGGCCACCGCGGCGCACGGCACGGCCAGAAAACGGCAGCGACTCACCGACACTCCCGGGTTTGACGGTTCGATGGCTCAATAACCCCACTGTGCGCCGCCACTGCCTAGGCTCACTGCCTGACTGTTCGTCCGGCCAGACAGACCGCCCGGCAGGTAGGCAACGCAGCCCGCTGCGCGCAGGGGAGCGCTCGCCTTGCCTACCCGCCGGGCGCTCACTGCCGCCGAGGAGGCTGTCGCTTAACGGCCACACCGAGGCAAAGAGGCAACCCAAGATCGTCCCTGGATCGGAAAAAGTCACGGAATCCGAAGCAGCCGGTTACTGATTCCGCCCGCGGCCGTGGGCAAAGGGGGAGGGGCTCTTCGTTGCGATATGGATGTCCGTTTTTCTCCCGGCTGGGGCATCCCAGGCAGCCAATAATCTTTGACGCACCTGGCCGCAGCCTGGAGCTGGAGCACAGACCCGACCACTACAATGTTTCCCCACCGCCCGAGCGGCAAACACTGAAACAGTCGGTGGCGGTGTCTGTCTCGCCACGCACTAGACAGCTACACGACGAGGCCACGACGAAAACGCGGCTGGTTTTCATTCAAAAGCCGGGATCCGAGGCAGTGTAGGGGAAGCTGAGCACCGCAGGAAGGGCGGCGGCTTCTCCAGGCTCCAGCCAGGCTCCAGCCAGGCTCCAGGTGGTGAGGCGGGGCACCGGGGAGCTGGCGCGCTGGCGGCTTACCTGTCTTGCGGTGGCGCTCCTCGGCGCCCTCCGGACGCAGCCTCTCTGACGCGCTGCCGGTGCCCCCGGGCAGCAGGACCTCCACCAGGCTGTCCTTGTCGGCGTCCATCATGGTGGCTGCGGCGGCTGCGGCCTGGCTGCGGTGGCGCGTCGGGTCCGGCGCACGCGGCGGCGCTCACTGCGCGCTCCAGTCCATACCGCCGGGCGGTGGCGGCGAGGCGGCGGCGAGGATGCACTATCAGATTGCTGCCGCCGGCGGGGAGGGGAGGTGAGGGGGAGGTGGCCGTCGACGACGTGGCCGCCGAGCACGCCGATCAGAGCGTCTCCTTGCTGGTCCTTGGACGCCGCGCGGCGGCCACTCAGCAGCACGACGGCGAGGCCAGGCACCCCGCGTTGGCGCCGCGTCCAAATAGGATGAGATACCGCGCGGTTTATGGGGCCCTCCCGCGAGCGCGTTTAGAGGGCGTGGGGCCGCGGGGCCGCGGGGCCGCGGGGCCGCTGGACAGGCATAAAGCGTCGGCGGCGTGGCGAGGCGTATAACCAGTCGCCAATCCCCCGTACTGCCCTTTCCCGTGTGACATTTCAGCGGCAACCGCGTAAGCCATAACCGGTGGGACTACCCCCACCTCCTCCTCTCGGTTCGTCTCGTGGTGGCCGTCACCCCCACCCCTTTCCCTTTGTTGACACTGGCTCCGGCCGGCCTGGCATATTGCAACCTTTGCGAACAAAAGACAATCACCCCGGCCATTCCGACGGCCAGGCCAGGCCGGCCGGCCCTCGCCCCGCCCCCCCCGCCCCCCCGCCCCACCCCGCCCCGCCCCGCCCCGCCCCGCCCCGCCCCGCCCCACCCGCCCCGCCCCACCCCGCCCCGAGCAGTCCATAGTCCGGCGGCGTGGTTGCCGTTGCCGCCGCTAGCCTTCGGGTGCCCATGCAACTCAAATTCCCCCCAAAAATCTTCTCAACTTTTCGTAAAAACCTTTTACTTGAATACAGAAAGCGCAAGCATTAGAGCCGCAAAATATTCTCCAGCCACCAACGCGCTGTGTCCAGATATAGATGACCCTCCCTCTCCTGCTCCTCCTCCTCCTCCTCCTCCTCCTCCTCCTCCTCCTCCGCGGCCGGAGCGCTCCTTCCCCCTCTAAGTGGATTCCGCCCTGCCGCACAGTGTACAGTCGCCGTGCGTACGCGACGGTACGCGGCCCGGCTCGACAACCCAATCAGCG